TTATGAAGTCAAACAACAACAAGTGCTGGCGAGGATGTGGGGAAAAGCGTACACTTGTACATTGCTGGTGGGACTGCAAATTGATGCAGCCAATTTGGAAAGCAGTATGGAGATTTCTTGTAAAGCTGGGAATGGAGCCACCATTTGACCCAGCTATTCCCCTTCTCGGTCTATTCCCTAAAGACCTAAAAAGAGCATGCTACAGGGACACTGCTACATCGATGTTCATAGCAGCACAATTCACAATAGCAAGACTGTGGAACCAACCTAGATGCCCTTCAATAGATGAATGGATAAAAAAAATGTGGCATTTATACACAATGGAGTATTACTCTGCATTAAAAAATGACAAAATCATAGAATTTACAGAGAAATGGATGGCATTAGAGCAGATTATGCTAAGTGAAGCTAGCCAATCCCTAAAAGACAAATGCCAAATGTCTTCTTTGATATAAGGAGAGTAACTAAGAACAGAGTAGGGTCGAAGAGCATGAGAAGAAGATTAACATTAAACAGGGATGAGAGGTGGGAGGGAAAGGGAGAGAGAAGGGGAATTGCATGGAAATGGAAAGAGACCCTCAGAGTTATACAAAAGTACATACAAGAGGAAGTGAGGGGAAAGGGAAAAATAATACAAGGGGGACAAATGAATGTCAGTAGAGGGGGCAGAGAGAGAAGAGGGGAGGGGAGGGGAGGGGAGGGGGGATAGTAGAGGATAGGAAAGGCAGCAGAACACAACAGACACTAGTATGGCTATATGTAATTCAATGGATGTGTAACTGATGTGATTCTGCAATCTGTATATGGGGTAAAAATGGGAGCTCATAACCCACTTGAATCAAAGTGTGAAATATGATATATTAAGAACTATGTAATGTTTTGAACAACCAACAATAAAAAATTTAAAAAAAAAGAGGAAGTGAGGGGAAAGGGAAAAATAATACAAGGGGGAGAAATGAATGACAGTAGAGGGGGTAGAGAGAGAAGAGGGGAGGGGAGGGGAGGGGGGATAGTAGAGGATAGGAAAGGCAGCAGAACACAACAGACACTAGTATGGCAATATGTAAATCAATGGATGTGTAACTGATGTAATTCTGCAATCTGTTTATGGGGTAAAAATGGGAGTTCATAACCCACTTGAATCAAAGTGTGAAATATGATATATCAAGAAATTTTTAATGTTTTGAACAACCAACAATAAAAAATTTTTAAAAAAAAGAAAATCAAAACAAAAACCTTATATCTATGGATCCATTTGTCCTCAGTTCTTCACTTACCCTAAACCAAGATACTGGGACAATAAGTCTCAAGGATCTGGTCTTGAGCAGTGTTCAGTAAATATCTTTTGGGTAGGGGCAAAGAACAAATGCAAGTTGTTCAGTTGAATTTCTACACATGGGAAACCTCTGCAAAACAAATTTTTTCATTTCCCTTTAAATTTGAGAGTGCAAATAAGAAGTTCTGCACAGACACCTAGTTCCACTGTGGAGTTTTCTGAGGCACTGCAAATCAACACACAATAGCAAGTTGTGTATGTACAAAGCAATTACAGATGTTGAGTAAAAAGCACATTGATTTCATGAAATGGGCATTTCTTTCATTAAGACTACATGCTACAAATCCAGTTGCACAGTTATAGGAAAAAATATGGGTTAGAAAATTAAAACAAAATAAAATATACAAATGGTGCTTTGTACAAATATACAAGGGTAGGAGAGCATCATGCCCTTGTGTCATAATACACTGACATTCTTATAAACCAAAATAATAGTTTGAGAGTTGACTCAGTCCACCATTACATTTAGGAGACTCTGGGAATTCACACTTGAGTAGTGAGAGAAGATGGTTGGTATGTAGATCTGCTAAGTTGGAAATAGCTTTTGGAAAGCCAGCTCTGGCCCTCCCACAGTGAGAAGTTTCTGACATATCTGAACAGCGTACTGGCAGCCATTGCTTTACACATATCAGCACATTTTTTAGCAAACTGCCTCTATGATACTTTCACAGAAGAGGAGCAGATGGGTGTCATTGATACCTATAGGAACAGAGCACTTGTGTGACCTCTGCTGGGTCCGAGCCAGGGAGAAAGGCTCAGAGGTGAGGTGACACAGCCTGTTCAATGCACTTACAAGCTAGTATACCACCCTGCAGCTCTCTCTCTTGCTGTGTTCACCTGGAAGCCACATGTGGTGCCACAGATCAAAGTGCCTGGGTCATGGAATTACCACCTAGAGGACAGACACCCTGGAGTCTCATATACCTGTACTGGAATTGGTGAAACAAAAAAGCTTATTTGGAGTTATGCCCTATGTTCTTTGCCATGTGAAGGGTAGTCATTTCCATTTTGTAGATAAGGAAAGTAATTGAAGGTCATAAAGTAGAGGTATTTATCCAACCAGTAGAGTGATAATTTCACATATCCAACAGTGCTATGGCTTGAAGTTATTCTAACTACTGATTTGTGCCTGTAATAATTTGATCTTTATTCATTTGAAGAAATTGCTAGACCTGCTGCCTTAGAAAATTGTAAAACTGTGTGAAAATTAACTCATGGTACATAAATTAGCTATTATGTTAATTTATTTTTCTCATTGAAAATGTTGAACATTTTGTCTAGATCCAATAACTGGCTCTATCCAACTTCAAGAGAACCAGAAATGTAGGGGAGCAGAAGGATACACATGAGCAGTAAATGTCTTCCCTACAGAGAATGATACAGAATTGCTAGGAACTGGCTAATGATAATGACCTATATTAGTGCATATTCACTAGTATAAAACTGTAGTGTCCAACCTATCATCATGATTAGTGTCTCTATTTTCACACTGTGATCTGGGGGCAAGAACAATAAAATTTTAAAAGCTTAAGCACCTATTTATAATTGATCTGACCTCTAACAACGAATGAAGCAGTCTGTCACGGAGCTGTAATATTTTATGTCCACAGAGGCCCCAAAGTATATTGCAATCTATATAAAACTACACTCTATTGAGTAGGGTATTTTTAGCACAGTTCTCAAAGCCTCACTGAGCTGGAAGAATCTGAGGCAGTAAAGTTAACCACTATCTTCATTTCGTCCATTAAGATCAACTGGACCCTCAAAAAGTGACACCAGTTATCAGATGTGAAAGCAAATTTCCACCAGCCACTCAAATGTGTCCTGAAGAAAGAATATTAACTGACAGCCTTGGCATTTAGAGCTAGTTAAACACATACAGTATGCAGTTAGGTTAACTGACCAAACGACTTACATTGTAATAGTATAAAAGGTAAAAAAAATCTCTGTTTCTAAAGACTCTAAAAATAAAGAATTCTCTAATACACAGCTCAAACCTCTCCAAGTAGATATACTCCTTCTGGATTTTAAAGTCAGAATTAGATAATTCTGTGCATGTGTCTCAAAAGTGCACACAGATGTGTGTGGTGTGTATCAACACATGGACTCATCATGGCATGGTAGAATGAAGTACTATGTCAAAATGTTCAGTTTCCTGTCATAGGACTACAGAGCTGGATCCTTGGCCATGTGACCTTGCCATGCCTCTCCATGGAATAGGTAGAGTACATATTCCTGCCTCACTGAGTTGGCCAGGGACTCTGGCATGAGTGACAGACAGTGGTGAGGTGAGATCTTAAGAGGCAGCACACGCCTCCTTCTACTCAGTCCTCGTGCTCCTCTGCCATCTGCCAGTGAAGGAACGTGAACGGGGTGGCTGCCACCTCAGAATGAAAGACACGTGAAGCAGAGCTGAAACCAGATGGCATCTGAAACAAAGCTAATCTGGCCATCCCATAGACCCTGAGATGAGGAAACAAGCAAAGGTTATTTTAAGTACTATACTGAGGTTTTAGGGTTATCTGTTATAGAGCGTAATAAAGAGCAAGCCTCACTTGTAAAAAAAACAAGTGGGGGGATGGGGCGGGGTGCACAGAATCTCTTTTTAAAATGTATTTCCAGGGCTGGGGATGTGGCTCAAGCAGTAGCGCGCTTGCCTGGCATGCATGTGGCCCGGATTTGATCCTCAGCACCACAACAAAGATATTGTGTCTGCCAAAAACTAAAAATAAATAAATAAATATTAAAAAAATCTCTCTCTCTCTCTCTTTAAAAAAACGTATTTCCAAAGCTACTACAAATTCTGCATTCTTTAAAAACCTAGCCTCTTGAAAGCAGGTAGAAAAAGAATAGAAATACCAACAAAATTAAGGAGGATAGACATATGAGTATTTGTGAGATAAACAAAATAGATGGAATGGGTTTGGTAATATGCATATAAATTCTAAGTAGCTACTGATATTCTTAAAGAAGATTGCAAAAATTCTATGTAAAAAGGGTTTAACTTTCCTAAGAGCATAAACAAGAAAGAACCTCACTTTTCTTTGATAAGACTGTCCTTGATGATGCTACATCTTGACTTTAAGATGATTCCTCTAATTCAGAAAGACTAATACTGTTGGATATTGATATGAGTTTACTGAAGAAACTAGACACTCAAAAGAGAAAAACACTACAATAGACATACTTCCCAGATAAAAGAACCACCTCGAGGGCTAATATTTGCAAAAGTGAAATGAGGAAAAACAATTTGGATTTTAAAAATTTGGGTTCATAGTCTACCATCTATAAAAATTCCCATGTTACCTTTTTAAGATTGGGTTTCAACTATGAGCAACAAATAATTCAAACAAGAGTGGCTTAAACACTACAGGATTTCTTCTTTCTCATAAAAGAGTCTAGAGGCAATAAATGTGGGGCTGGAGGGTCCATCAGAGGCCCAGGACTCTGGCTTGTTGCTTCACAATGCTCAGCACATGGTTCCTTCTCCTCCTTAAGCTCTACAATGTTCTCCCAGAATCCAGCCACCAGAATAGAGGAAAAGATAACCAGGATCACCTTCTTTGTATGGGCACTTTCCAGACATTCCACAAAATAGCCCATGTCACATCAGTCAAAACTTAGATCCACTGGTAGCTTTAAAGTCACATGGAAAGATGGAAGGGTAGGGAAGAGAAGGGTAGGGGAGGGTAGGGGAGGGTAGGGGGACAGGAAGGAAGGAAGGAAGGAAGGAAGGAAGGAAGGAAGGAAGGAAAGGAAAGGAAAGGAAGACCAACTAGTGGTTCTTTTATTAAAGAAGGGAAAAATGGGTATTGGGGACCAGTAGCCTCTGCCTCAATTCTTATTGTTTTGAGACTGCAACATACAGGTAAGAAACAACCCTGCCCCAAATCACTATGGCAAGTGAGACATGAACTTTACAGAAATAAAACAATAGCATTTCATTTTGAGACCTAAACAAAACATTAATAGCATTAACCCACAAAATGCCAGCATATATAAAACACTAAGGCAACATCTGTAAGCCCCTCCCTTCCCTCCTTCCTTCCTTCCTTTCTTCATTCGTGCTCATAAAATGCTAAGTCCAAGTTATTGCTACCATTATCCAAAACAACTCAGTGGTCAATTAAAAATGATTTGTGGGTTAATTAGGTTTTCTTCATACAAAAACATGGTAATCTTGATTGCTAGTACCAATGGTCTAAATTTGATGCAGAGAGGCACATGTTATCTTTTGCCCTGTCATATTTAACTTTATCTAAGTATATTAAGAAAAATCATATTGATATTAATCTTTCACTACATATGAAATATTTTGAATATACATAATAATGTAGATTATTGGAAGTTTTTCCCAATAAAAGTATATGCCTTTTTCATAGTGAAAATATGAAGACAGTGAGCAAAAAGTGAATACTTTCTATATGCCTTGCACAATGCTATGCACTTAAAGTTACTTATTTAACTAACTCCTTTTTCAAAACTAAATCTAAAAAGAAGCTCAATTATATTTTCCAATTTATAAAATAGAAACTTGAAATGGGTAATTTTCACACAATTGAAAGGTGGTCATGACAGAAAGTGAGCCAGGATACAAGTTTAAACCTCACTGATTATAAGACTCAAGAATTAATCCCTGCTTTAGTACACATGTCTTAAGGAAAACATTTTGGAGATAACTAGATACACACGTTCCCTTATTTTTATACTTCTTCTCTATCTTATCAATATCTTTTAATCCTAATTAAAAGCATATTCAGAAAACTCTCCTCTATTAATCACATTTAGTATAAAGCAGACTCATATGTCATAATCACTGGATAGTTGTGGAATGACTGGATGAACTACGAAATTATTATACTTTTAGTAATTTAATTTTAATCAACTTTCTAATACATTCATCCTGTACAAATGATTTTTATCTTATACATACAAATACTTCCTAACATCATATACACTTTTACCACTCAGAATTTCTACTATAAAACATCCATCACTGAAGGCTAGTAGTGCTTTTAAATAAAGAAATGCTTGCAAATATTTGGATTTGTGTGTATGCAGTTTACTGAAACATTCTAGGAACAAAAATAATGACTGCAAAATGCATTATTATTTAAGATCAAATTACAAGTTCTGTTACAAACTTAATGATCAATAGCCATCTCCTGAGTTTACAAGTCATAATTATCTATCCAAAAGAGCTTGAATTTAAAAAATATGTCAATTACACACTCATTTTTTTTCAAAGTAGGTCACACAAAGAAGACACAAGTTGTTAACCTATAATATTCTTTTTCTTAACCCAGAGCCTAACTGGAACACTAACCCAAGAATGCAAGTACAGTCATCTACAAAGAAGAGATGTGTCTCATATGTGCTATTTCCTGTGCCAGTAATGCAGGGCAAGGTGCCAGAAGACAGCATTGAGTTGGGCTGAGATGCAGGGATAGAGGCCACTTCTCTCTCTCTCTCTCTTTACCCCCTCCTCACCACCTACCTCCTCTTCTCCTACCTTTGATTGCCCTGCCTGTCACTGAGAAGTTAATGGCATTATTTCAAAATAGAATATTCTGTAATCTTGGAAAGAAAAGATGCTTAGCAAGTGTCAAAAGCATGATTATTAACATAAAAATTAAAATCATTTATATCTTTGTTGGTTGAGTAACAGAGGGAGATTGAGAGACTCCTCTCCCAGCTCTGGAGCCACGTGGAGCCCAGGGCTCTCCTAGACATGTGCTTCTTCTTGGGGGGCTCTCATTAGGTATTTTCTCTACTGTTGGATTTCATTATTTTAAGGAGAACCGTTGGATAACTAAAGAAGAAAATAATCCGTTTCATAGATTAAAACAAAACAGAATGAAGTAGAAAAAGAAACAAGGTCTTTGTTATAATCACCTTTAAAAAGATTAAAATTGAGAAACACTTTTGGACTATCATTAAACTGGTATTCTAACACATTGGACTCAAAAGTGATACTAAATTATTCATGTCACATAAGTGATTTTTGCCATTTGGCATTCACATGTCTTACATTTACTCTTAAGGACTGTGGGATGAAGGTGCGAGAACTGCATAAGATCACTTGTGCACTGTTGTGGGTAGGAGCATGCCCTGATAAGGAATGTCTTGTCCAATTAGACCAGTTTATGGTGATTTACAAAATATCTGCTTGTTTAGTCATTGGAATTACAAATAAATATGGAAAATGAGTACTAGCTATCGAAACTCCATTTGCAAGAACACACCTTGATGGAGCACTATTTGGAGTCAAGTACAAAGGTAGGCAAGAAAAGAAACAGATCATAACAGATACATTCTAAAACCATGAGGGGTTGCACAACAATCATGTGGTAGTCAGCTTTTTGTCACTGTGGCCAAAATACCTCACAAGTACACATTAGAGGAAGAAGTTTATTTTGGCTCATGGTTTCAGAGGTTCAGCCCATAGTCGGCCAACCATGTTGCTCTAGGCCTGAGGTGAGGCAGAAAAACATGGCAAAAGGGTGTGGCAGAGGAAAGCTGTTCACCTCCTGACAGCCAGGAAGCAGAGACAAAGCTCTATTTACCAGGGACAAAATATTAACCCAAAAGGCATACCCCCAGTGAACTAATTCCTCCAGCCACACATAACCCACCTACAGTTACCACTCAATTCATTCAAGTGGATTAATGCACCAGTTAGGTCCTACCTCCCACAATCTAATCAATTCACCTCTGACCATTTTTGCATTGTCTTTCATAGAAGCTTTTGGGGTACTCATGATATCAATGCATAATAGGAAGACAGTTATGGTTCTGAACTGTACATGGAAAATGGTTAAAATGAAAAGTTTCAGGATATATACATTTTACCATAATAAAAAAAATCATGAAAGAATTCTTCATACTGAGTGGATTAAGTGGTCTGTGGTGGCCTAGTAATAAAGGCATCATTGATTTTGTTTAGTACACATGATGTGTCAAGGACCTGACTCTTAATATTTCAAGTACATCTGTACCAGATTGTAGGTTTGTAAGAAATCTGCTTTAATTCAAAAAATTGAGAAATATGTCGATAAGAAACATTCCTTATAGCTGGTATCCAAAGCACCATAATCAAATGGCCCAATATCAAATAAGTTAATACATTAAAGTCACATGAAAATGATACTTTCTAATGGTATATTTGATGATTCAGAAGAGTCCTTAAAAAATTGTGCTGGAGGGCTGGGTATGTGGCTCAAGAGGTAGTGCGCTCGCTGGCATGTTTGATCCTCAGCACCACATAAAAGTAAAATAAAGATGTTGTGTCCACCAAAAACTGAAAAATAAATATTAAAAAAAAGAATTGTGCTGGGCCTAGATCCTATCGTGATGAAGAGTAAATCTGCTCCCAACAAGAAAAAAATTACAACTTTCTGATTACTTAAATACTGAATAAATAAGCACAGTCCTTCCTTGGTATCCATGAAGGTTGGTTCCAGGATCTTCATAAGACACCCAAATCTTCAGATGCTTCAGTCCCTTATATAAAATGGCATAGTATTTTCCTATAACCGACATAGTCATTCCATATACTTTAAACCATCTCTAGCTTACTTAATAATACTTAATAAAATGCAAATGCTATGTAAATGGTTGTTTAGAGAATAATGACAAGAAAAAAGTCTGTATATACTCGGTAGAGATGCAGGTTTTTTTCATCAAATAGTTTTAATCCATGTTGGTGGACTCCACAGAAGTGAAACCCACAGGTAAGGAGGTACAACTATATTTATGGTAAAAAGTAATACAATATGGAGAAAACATAAATCTACCATTTATAGTTTTTTTTTTTAAATTTTCATTTGTGGCAAAGACTGGTAATAGACAAACCAATGTCCCTTCTCTCCTTCTTCCTTAATGTGGAACACTGATATTTTAGAGAAATAGCAATATCCTCAGTGGATAAACTATATATTTCTAAATGATTTAACTACATATTTCTATGTGACTAAATTCTGGCTAACAAGATGAAAGTGAACATTTTGGGATGGATTTCTGGGAAAGCTCCTTAAAACAGAGGGCTGACTTAGCTAGGATGTAACTCTTCCTCTTACCTTCTTCTTCCCTTGGGACCTAGATGAGGTAGCTGTAGCTCTGCAGCTCTGTTGGGGGCCCAGGTAATAACCACATGTTAAGAACATCCAACAGGAAAAATGGAAGGCTTCTGGTCCTAACAGAGAATGTAGCATCACCATATATAGACCACGAGTCTCTAAATTTTTCATCACAGGAGAAAAAGAGTCCACTAATTTTTTAAAAGCCTCTCTGTCTTTGGGTCTTTATAACTAGCAGTTGCATACAATTACTAACCCATCCATCAGGGAGAATAGGAGTAAAATGGGTATGCCATCCCACTGAAATGAGAATCCTCTTCAAATTTTAACTAAAATGCCTTGTAGGATTTTAACCTCATTGTACAACACATGAAAGTTTCATTCCAAGCGATATCAAAGGAGAAAAAGTAGCTCCTCTTATGACATTTCAGAGGTAAATCTGCTGAAGGCCATAGAACCATCACCACAGGGTATCATTCTAAACACAGATGCTTATTGCTTTCTGCCAGGAGAGAGCTGGTTTTCTACATAAGCTGCAACTAGGATAGGCACAAAGGAAACGTGTGGCCCACACAGCAAGAGCAGCAGGAATCAAAGTTGCTTGCTTTGTAAATCCTGAGATCTGAATGGTGTATATGCTAGGCTCTCAGAGGTCTAGCACAATAAAATTCCTATTTTAATTACAGCAGCATACTTAAAGTGCTATCATTAAGGTTATGTCAGCAATTACTTTTTTACAACCTTATTTTCCAGAGAATAATAAAAATACATTTGGGACTGATACCTTGGGCTGAAAGTTGGCATTCAGCTCTCCACCTACATGCTTTTCTTTGCTTCTGACAAATTGGGAGAATGCCTGCAACGTGCTTCCTTGAAATTGTAAAAGAGAAAATTCTCAACAAAGAGACCTCCAAATTGCTTTGCCTTTGACTGTCTGAAATTCAGGTCTGTGAACTGTCAGGGTGATCACCGCTGTCATGTTTCAGGATGAGAAATGTGGTCTCTACGGTAACAACAACTCAGCATGATTAGTGCTCAGAAATTAAAATCACCTCCTTGAACTGTACTCTAAAGATGGGAACCAGAGTCAAGGTGTCGAAGTATTCATTTTTTTTCAGCACACAGAGGATGACGCATACACCCCTAAAAGAAAGAACAGACTCTGAATGAATCTACATGAGAAGGTAACTCCTGAAATAGAACTTTCGATAGATGGAAGGGAATAAACACCCAAGTTTTATAAGTGGTAGAAGGTGAGTTATAAAACCATAGCAAAAAGGCAACATTAGAGGATTCGTCATTAGAAAGAAGTATCACTAGAAAAATTGATGTTTAAAGAGTGATAGTAAAACTGGTAGTATGATTCAACTTTAGTAAGAATGATAAATATAACTGATATAATAACTAAAATGTATTGAGCATAAACTGTGGGCAGGCCTTTAGATAGTATTCTTACATGAATGAATTCATTAACACCAATGACAATCCTATGAAGTAGGTAGTTTTCTTCTTCCCATTTCACAGATGTGGAAACTGGGGCAAGGGAAGGTTCCATTGTCCCCAGCACAGGGCTGGGAAGTAAGCAGGGAAACCTCCTTTATCCACCTCAATACTACGGAAAGGAGAATGCCTTTGGTCATGTGCAAGTCCTCTGAATAGAAAGCTTCCTTGTAACAGACTTGCATGGTTTTATGTAAGAAAAAAATAACCAGGTTTTAAGATACTCATGCAGAAAGTAAGAATAATATGCTTATAATGTTGAAATAAAGGATGAGAAGAATTTTCTTGGGCATAGAATAATGATTGAAAAGGAGAAAGAATTCGGGAGCAAAGAAAAGTTATAGGAACAAAGTCACTAAAAAAGACTGTGAAGTCAGTGACAAACACTCTCAGCGGCCCAGCGGCAGTGGCAGGGGAGCCTGGCAGGATAACAAGCCCACAGCCCAGACATCAATTTCTGACTTGCTCCGTATTGCCTGGAGTGATTCTAAGACTCCTTTATGACAAAAGTGAAAATCTGATCAAACTTGGTAGGAAGATAAAAAGTTTAAGTGGCAGCTGGAGGAAAAAAAAAAAAAAGGAATAGAGGTGACAAGAGAAGACAGAACTGGAGAACAAAGGTGCAGGAGGGGGAAAAGGAGGGTGTCGGGGGGAAAAAACCATCAAGAAGTTGTCTGAGAAAATAGGCCAAATAAGCAGGGCAATTGATCACAGGTGGCAGAACTTCCAGATACAAAAGCTGCCATTACTAAGACAGATCTTCCTAATCCAGTTTCCTATCATTTCCAGCATGAATCTGTCCCAGGGGGGATATGCAACTGCATGAGACTGGAGCCACAGGCTTCCCCACTCCACTCCGGCTGACTAGTAAGCAAAGATGGTCCTAGGGTGTTACACGGTTGAATAAGAGGAGGAATCAAGAGATGGAGATGTGACGGGTGCCACACCCAGGACAGAACAGAGAAGGTGAACATACACTCTGAGTATTTGAATTGATGCCTATCTACTGCTAAAAGGCCCTGGGGGTTGGGGAGGGGGAAGTGATGTGAAAATTTTAAAGAGATACTGGGACAGAGCTTTGCTAAGTAGATAAATTGGTGTCATAAAAGCAGAATGGAATTTGACAAGATCCATTATGACATTTTCCGGAAAAAGATGAAGTCTTCAAATTGAATATACATCAGTGTTCGCTTTGACATGAAGTGGCTTTTCGAACCTTTTCATTTATTTATTTATTTTGGAATTGTGTTAAGAAAACTAACATTCTGGAATTCAGCAGGCTAGGCAGAGTGACAATGATTCCTCAGGGATTTTCAGGTGCAGCTGCAAAGCGGCAGAGTTCGAAGAGTTAGCCAAGTTCATGAGTGCATCTGGGTGGGTTAAATAAAATATGGGGCTCAACAAGGGTCGGTTTCCTTCCCTTTAGTACAAGGAGGCTACTGTGTTATTACTCTAAGCTGCACAAGCTGCTTGTTAGCTTAGGTTGCAGTTCACGGTGACTGTCTGCCTTTTTTATTTCTAGTTTGGCAAATTGTCCTCTATTTCACCTCTGATGATTCCCAGGGTACCTTCTGTCTGTCTCTTTTACACAATCACCTCATAAAACTACCTCATTACTCCTTATCGCTCCAGCTTTTTTGAGCAAAATCTCTATCTTCCTCTTCTTCTTCTTTCAACTCACTTTCTCTTGGAGATTATTTTTTTTTAAAGTGAACAATATGGCTACATCTCTTTGCTCTATCTTGGACCTATTTAATTTTTCTTTTGTCCACTCTTTCCACAAATATTTAATCATCCTTTAACATGGGCCAGGGACCATAATGGGCATTCAGGATACCACAAGAAGCAAAACACACTGGTATCATGCCCTTATAATGTTGAGATTCTCATTGAAAAGGCAGACATTAAACAGGTGAATGTCTAATGCAGTTGTGCTAATGCACCAAAAAAGGAGATAGGCAGAATGCAAAGATAGCATTTAACAGTGGGAGCTAACCAGAGGAAAAAAATCAAGTAGGCCTTCGCTTAAGATGAAGGGAAAGGATTGGGGATTTATTTTCTGGTGTCCTGGTTAGAAGGCCCCAAGGCCAAGAGATAACAGGAGTTTGAGGGCTGGAAAGAAGTACAGAGAGGGGCTAAAAGGGAGCAGAGCGGGAGAAGAGCTGGTGAGGCCAGGTAGGGTCAGCACATAAGAGCCTAGTACGTGATGTTAAAGATTCATTGTTTTATCCCATGAGCAATGTGAAAGCCCTGGAGGATTTTAAGTAGGAAAGAGAGGCAAGGTCCATCGCACATTTTGATAACAGTCATTCCTATGACATGATGAAGATGGATCAGAAGGAGCAAGAGGAGACACGGGGTGAATAGTGAGGAGGTCACAGAGATAGTGCAGGGGAGAGGTGATGGGCACTTACAAAAGTGTGCTAGTAGTGAGAATGAACAGAAACAGTGCAAGAGATGGTAAGTGTGGAGAATAAAGATGACCAACAAATGTTCTTGATGCTTCTCCTATTGCAGTAACATGAAGGTGTAAACCTGTGACTGGCTGGAGGCCTCCTTGTCCATGTTGCTCCTCCCCTCGTGCTGGAAAATGCCCTACCCAACTCCTCCTTCACAGTACACGGTATTCTCCTGTACTTCACTTTGTTCAGACACTCTTCAGGAACTCAGATCCTGACCAGGAAACCTTGAGATATCTGCCCACAGATGGACATGTTCTTCTAGTGACCAAACACCAGCTCTACAGTTTACTTTGCTCAAAATAAAAGGATCACGTTATTGAGTCGAAATAACAGCAATTCCTGCTAATGAGAGAACTAAGGTTAGAAAGTAGACAATAACCATTATTACTGACATATACTGAGTTCTTGCAAATGCACCAGGTATTCTAGTTTTATGATCTAATTTAAATCTCATAGCACCCCTGTGAGGTGGGTCTTTTAATTTATCTCAGTTTTACAGATGAGGAGACTAATGCTTGGAAAGACAAAGTAACTCACACAAAAGCACAAACAGGGTAGGGTAGAGTCAGAATTTTCATGTCATAGGAATGACTGTTGTCAAAATGTGCAATGTAGCTCACTTATCTGTTTGCCAAGGTACTACACATCTGACAAGAAGCAACTTTATCTCCTATGAAGGAACCTGGCTCTAAGCCCCATATACCTGTTAGAAGTATTACTGAGAATTTCTGGTCTCTCAGTGACAGCCATATTTGTCAAACTGACTATGGGGATTATCAAAATTTCATTGCTTTTCTATCTTCATTCTCTTCCCCTAAGAAGAGGGGCATTCACTAGACCTTTACTCAATCCCCACTTTTCAGCCTGAAAATCCAGCCTCCTTTTAGGACTTAGGCAAGAGAGATTTAAGGAACAATACTGAGTCGGTACTGTTCTTTAAAGAAATGTCAGCAACAAGCTAGTCTTGCTGAGAAAGTGCATTGAGGTTCAGTTCTCAAAGTAGGCTTGTTGCTAAGAGCCTTGTCTTCCTCATATACAAATTCTAGTAAATGGGTGAGGAAGCTGAGCCTCTAGTTTAGAATGCCTAGAACTGTGACCCTACCTTTGCCTGGTATACCCAGAGCCCTGAGTCCTGCCATTTTTATTCAAGCTCTTCTGGCAGATGTCCCTACTGTGAACTGAGTAGATCTTCAAATATGGCCATGTCAAGAAGCACCATGACTGGTTATGCTCTGGCATTTGGATGCCCTATTACTATGCCATGAATATTGAATCCCAAATGACAAATAGGTCTCTTTGCCAAAATCATCCATCTTCTGTGCTGGCTAGAGCTCTTACCCCCACCTCTACCCTGTAATGGGAAAGGCCTAATCTCAGGTCATGCTTTCCTCAGCTGGTTCAGGCCATCTGAATTTATCTGGGTCATCCTCAGCCCTTTCAGCGCCTGTGTGGCATAGGTGATACACATATCAGTGTTAGCATCAATATGACATTCTCAAATTCAACAATGGTATGTTAGGACTATGGTCTCCAACTTCTTTCCCAGAAGCTGAAACATGCCCAGCAATAATTTCTGGCACCTGGCCCAGAGCATAGAAGGATCAAACCTTGAGTTCTAATGCCAATAGTGCTTTTAACTCATTAAAGATGGGGGAAAAATCACTTAGCCTTCTGTTGATTCATCCCATTAGAAGAATATAGGGCCAAACTATGGGGAGATAAATGAAGACTTGCTTTTAGAGTCACAGTTACAGTCAGAAAACCAGTTAATATTTATTGACGTTAACGTGCCAGACACTGTGCTATATGCCACAGACAATTATCTTATTTAATCTTCACAACAATCCAATGAGCAATTGTTATAATGGTCTAAATATTACATTCGGGAAAAATTAGGCTGGGAGAATTAAGAAACTTGCCCAAGATAAACAGAGCTAGCACATCATGGAACTCAGAGACAGCAAAGCCCTCTTTCTCTTCCCAGTGCAGAAGGTTCATATTTTCTCTCAAAATAGCCAGATGCATATGTATAGGGACACATATGTTTTAAATATATGCAAACTGAATTTTCAAAATTATAAATGCATTTAAAGAAAAAAAATGTTCAATTGGATCAAGGCTTCTTGAATCTATGAGGAAGGGGCTTGGTTATGAAGAATAATGCTTAGAAAAACTGCTGAGCTCTTTTGAACAATTGTTCAAAGTTTTTTTTTATTTTTCAAAGAAGATGCAACATTGACTCCTATTGATAAGAACAAAAGAAAAGTATTCTGAATTAATTTTCCTAGTTGTTTTTTATGTAGTATATCTATCAATAATAAAAATTTGATAAGAATTATTACTTAAAAAGTATTTTTAAAGCCTTTATTTCAGATGGCTGTCTCTAAGGCCTGCCTACAAAAATAATTTTGTAATTATGTGCACATTCTTTTTATTTATAGCTCTTATTTTAAAAAATAAAATTTCCCAAACAGATATAACAACTACCTAAAAAAGAAAATATTCAACAAAGAAGAGAAAAAGTCCAAAGAGATAGTTAAATCACCACACAAGGAAGTTAATTTGCCACAGAGGTAAAAGTTGAAATGCCACAGAGATCAAGATAGTTATATAAACATGGTACAGCGCTGAACCTGCACTGTTCAATGCAATTATAAGGTGAGCCTCACATATATTTTTAAATTTTCCATACTCACACTTAAAAAAGAAATCCAAGTGAAATTTTTAATAGCATATTTAAGCCAACGTAGAAAAAAGTTCCCATGTCAATATAAATATCTGAAAGTTTTTAATAAGATCTTTTATATTTTGGTGTAATATAATGACATAGTCACACATTCTTCTTATCCAAACAGTGCAAATGTATTTACCACTTCACTTCCAATTAACCTCTCTTCAAGAAGATCTTGGACATGCTAGGATCATTTTTACTGACTTTCTAATTACCTTCCTGTAAGAATACATTCTTCTTCCAGAGGTATTGGTGGTATGTCAGGATATTCTCTGGGCAGCACAGCACCATTGGCAACTTCATTACTGGCATTACTAATACCAGCAAACTATTTTTCTGTCAACGGATCACAATACTGAAGTGTAAAACAATATACCATTGTACCTTTTCTTCTCCACTTTATACAATATCTAAGCTATGTATTATTTTATTGTCATACTGCTGCCTTTGATTTATAAGGGGCTTCCAGTTTTTCAGAGATTTACTACTGAAAACTTCATAAAGAGCTTCCTCTATGAGAGGCCTGATCTCTCTGAAGTTAACCGTACTGTTCTATTTGCATTTTTACTGGAAGCTTCCTGATTACCTTATTTCTTACAAAGAAGTTGGGATATTTCTCACAAATAAACTACTAATAAAATTGTTTCTTTAGAAGAAAGAGAGGGAAAAGGAAGAGCAGAAAAGAGGTAGAGGAAGTCAGTCAGACAGTCAATCCAAAACAGGGTCGGGGCAGTGGGAAGGAGGAAGAGAGGGAACAGAACCATGTCTAAGTAAGAGCATGACCCTGGACAGAAATGTTTGCTTGTAACACCAAAGAACCAGTATGAAGCTGCCAGAGGTGCTGTGCTGCTCAGAGAACATCCTGACATACTACCAACATCTCTGGAAGAAGGACGTATTCTGACAGGAAGGTAATTAGTAAGTCAATTAAAAAAAAACAGCATTTCCAAGATTATCTTGAAGAAAGGTTAATTAGGAGCAAAGTGGTAAATACATTTGCACCGTTTGGACAAGAAGGATCTGTGGTCAGGTCTGGTGTATCACACTACACACATTTTATTCAGAAAAATGCCAAGATTGCATTGTAAAGTTGCTTCAAGTGAGAGATGGAATGGGAAAACAGAAAACAATAACATTTGAGGAAATGGCTGTTATTTCCCCAGATGATAATATGAAATTGAAGCTGAAAGAAGAAAAGGGCAAACGAAACATGATCAGACAATAACAAAGTAAAGAGAGAATGTCAGTCAAGTTTATTGCCTCTCTTTTGAAAATTAAAAATAGTACTTAATTCAAGGCAGTTAATGACTAGCAAAACTAACAGGAAAAATAGTCGATGTAATAATTACATTTATATTGAGAAAAGGGCAGTATATACCTCTGTCAGTAGAATAGCTAACATTTAGATGACACAAGTGACACAAGTTGTAATAAAGAACTTTTGAGTCTACCATAGTCCCAGCAGACTTTCCTGATTAGGCTAACCGTAGTTATCTACTACAGGCAAACAAGGTAGTCCTCAAAAATACACTCTAGCAATAACAGTATATATGAAACAGAGATGAATAAGAGAACCATTCTGAAGCTACAAAATAAGGACTTCATTTATTCACCTAATATATACTTCAGAGTATAGCATAATTTAACATGCAATAGGAAAATGACTTTTGGAGAACAGCCATAGCTGCAGGTTGCTAGTGGGCAATTCTACCCCCAAATAAGCTAGGATAGAAAAAATATAAATATATAACCACTGGGATAGTAGAAATCTCCTGTAAAATGAAAGGTTAAGAATAGATGGCAGCAGAAATCCTACCACTGTCTGAGCTGGTGGAGTGACAAGGGTACTTGATTATGAACCTCAAACAAGGTAGGACCATGAGAAGAACCCTACCAGAAGCCAAGGTATGACTGATCCAACTAAATCCAGAGAACAGGAACCAGGAACCTGGAAGAAGTCAAGATATTAGCCAATACAAAAAGTATATTTTCCATGAAGCAAGTTGGATAACGGATATCCATAATAATTTATTTATGGCCAGGCACTTGATCTTTACCAGAATCCTGTCCTGGAGTGTCTTGGATGTTGTACAAGCCCCCAAATAACCAAAGTATGGGAAAACAAGTAGCAGAAGAAAATCTTATGCAATAAAACCAGAGAAAATTAATGGCGAGTAAATTAGTATGCCAATCAATCAGTCTCCCATTCAAAATTACCAGTTCCCAAGTGATTACCACAAGGGCTACCACTGTGAAACAATAGAAATCTTTACAGAGGGCCTTTTCTCCAGCACATGTTGAAGTGGAAAAGTCAACCTGTTATTGACAGTAACTTCCTATCTTCAACTCAGAAACACAATGTTACAATTGTGCAGAAATCCTCACCTTACCTATGACAATAATGATTTGTTTTTTAGGTTCTTTAAGTGTTTTTCTTTTGCTTCCTCTGTCATAATTAAAATATTATCCTCATTCCATAGTCATGCTCTCTAGAGATCTACCTAGCCCTCATTCTTTCAGGTGGTGGCAGTGGAAAGTTACTAAAGAAAGCAGCAAATAAACACCAAATTAACCATTGCCTAAATCCTAACCCATTGATATTTCTTATTCTACCTTATTCCTCAAAATTACATTTATCAAGATGATCCTTTATTCCAAACAGGAGGAGAACAATTCCTATGAGGACCAGCAGGCTTCCCCTTCCCTTCATTCCTATTCAAGTCATTGCATTCTTTCGGTAATTCTTGGCCTATCATTTTGGGGACAGCTGCTTGAAGGGAAAAAAAATCAAGAAATGTGGTGCATGGCTATCTTTCTCACAAAGATTTTTAAAATATTTTTTTTACTGAGTTTCTGGCTCATCTTGATCTGAGATTCACTACCTCAATTTCTGTAGTCTTCTCTGTCTTTCTGGGTTTCAATCCTACTGTGCATTCTGTCCTCCAAGATTCTGAATGAAAGCTCCTGATTGTGAAGCAGTCTACACTTGATGGTTAACTTTTTGCAGATCTTAAGCTCCATATCAGCCAGGTCTGACCCCTCACCCTGTGTATCTCCAGTCTCTGTACATTAGCCTACCCACAGATGTTCAGTATCAGTACTTCATTCTGTACTTTCTGAAGGTTAATTGTTTGAGTAATTCATCCACCATAATTTAGTTTTATGCACAGATACCCCACACTATTATATTATAAACAATTCTATCAGTACTGCCAACGTTTACTAAATGCATTGTATTATTTGGCTGTTATACATCACCAGCAGGAAATTAATGAATTGGGCTTCCTGTTTGAACAGTCATTCTGGTCCTATAAAAAGCAAAAGTAGGAAGCATTACATTGTAGGGGCTACTTGAATGTCAGGGACAAAACATTTCATGCATCACCTGACAGCTGTAACAGAAAGGATCTCTCTATCACATGAGGTCCATAGACAGCCAGCAACATCAAAAGCGTAGTATATTGCTCCCAGGTGGCAAAGCTGCCAAATTACCTCTACAGGAAGTCTGACTATGACATACATAAAATAGTCAGTAAAAGGACTGCAGTTTTACAGAATCAGCATTCAGAACAGTCAGTAAAACTCTGCATAAATTATACAAATGACTTACAGATAATTCATATAGAAAACACCAAAGACCTCATTGGTTTGTTCAACACCATAGATGAATCAAAGCTGAAGAAAGACAAGTTGCAAGGGGTAAATGGTAAATTGGGAACTCAAACAGAGTAAATAATGAGGAAAAACAGAACAATTTATAAATATAGTCATTTGTTCAACATTTACACTGTGCCCAGTAGGTCCCAGTTATTGAACTAGCAGTTCTAGAAATAAAAAATGAAAAAGAAAATGTTTTTGTTCTGGAGCAGCTCACATTGCAATGAATCAGACAAATATACAAATCAGACAAATGCACTGTACAGGGGCAGAGAGACATGACCAGTTTCATGGAGCAAGTAGAAGTAACCTTTAAATGATATAAAAAGGAGTAAGATACCGTGAAGAGAGGGAGAGAGGAACAGACCTTTCAAAATATAAGAAAAGGTCAGAAACAGCCAACAAAAGAGGTAAAACTGATAAAGAGCTGTGAAAAGGATCACTTAGGAGCAGGACACAGAGCCATACCAGAGGCCAGAAAACCAAGAGTTGTTCAATGATCAGAGTGTGTCCTATACATGGGAAGTGGCACAGAAGGAGAGGGTCAGTGAAATGCAGGGCTCTATCACCCAACACCCAATTGGAGATAGGTAGCACCCTGCCCATGGAGTACACTACAAGCTTAAAATTCAAAAAGGAGGGCAGCTGATGTAGCTCAGATGCAGAGTGTTTGCCTGGCATGCGTGAGGCTCTGGGTTTCATTCCCAGTATCACTAAAAATAAGTAAATTAATAAATAAATAAAAAGTATATTTTCTTGAAGTTAGTTCTCAAATAAACGTGCTTAGAATGTTTTATAAAATAGGCATCATAAGAAGGACCAGAGCAGCCATAAGAAAAGATCAATTTTGCAGTGACAGGATTTGCTGGCTTTCATACCTACTGAATCCAAGAGAGGAGGGGAGGGGAAGAGAGGGGAGGGGAGGGGAGGGGAGGGGGAAGGAAAAAGGGAAAAAGAAGAGAAGAAGAAAAGAGATCAGAAACTTTGTTAGTTGAAACATAAAGCTGCGGAGGGTACTGAGAAGAACTTAGAAGAGAAGTGGAATGCTTCTCTTTATCCACCATAATTTAGTTTTATGCACAGATACCCCACATTATTATAAACAGTTCTATCAGTACTGCTAACGATCTACCTAGCCCTCATTCTTTCAGGTGGTGGCAGTGGAAAGTTACTAAAGAAAGCAGCAAATAAACACCAAATTAACCATCACCTAAATCCTATCCCAACAGTAAGAACTGTTGAAAGGAGATGACACCAGGACTCCAAGATGGTTATCAGCTATACTAGCAGAGAAGAAAAATCTCATGGATGCCAAATAGGGAGCTGCCAAGCTGGATATTGATGTGGAATTACCCCTAAAGGCGTTGTTGAAAGATCTCAAAGAGGTTACTACCAGTATTACAAAAAAATACAGCACTGTGAAGACAGGGAGCCTGCTGTGGTTCATAAGGCACTGACAGCTCATGTGCTTTCCACCTGCAGCCTTGCCTCCAAGGAACTCAAATGTGAGAAGTGACTTAAGTACCACAGAAAAGGACCTGAGTAGAGGTCCTCTACTCCAGTCCATAGCCCACACTCCTGGCTATGACGTCCTGGGCCCAACGCCCCTCCAGATGAACTCAATCATTGCTGAATCCTTGCATAGCCTGACAATAATACCCAATGCAAGGTGACTGATAAAAAAGAAAAAGAAAAAAAAAAGAAGTAAACGAAAATTTGGAGATGAAAGGACATTGAATTGTTCACTTACTCCAATAATGTGTTCACAGGCACATTGATATTTTATAGTCTTGCTACTCAAAATGTGGTTCTCAGGCCAGCATTACTAACATCCCCTGAAAGCTTGTTAGAAATGCAAAATCATAGTCTGCACCCCAGACCAGTAGAGTCAGATTTTGCAGTTCGTTATGATCCCTGTAAGAATCACATGCACCATGACATTAGAGAAGCACTGTTTTATAGAGATAAGGAAGTTGCCCACTCCACAAGATTGCGATGACACTGCTGCTGAGATAGTAAGCTAGACATGTACCTCTCCACCTCTGGTACCCTCTGGTTCTCTCAACTGAAATCCTGCTGGGTGCCAGATGCTTCCCTGGAATGCCTCACAATAACCACATTACCTACTTTCCTACATCATTGTGGCTGAACTTAATTAGGTACTAAGAGGAAACTGATATGATTATCTCATTAAAGGAATATCTCCCGCACTAAAGTGTGAAAAGCTGATTGGATTAACATTCCCAGCAAGCGCTGACATTTTAAAGGAATTTGTTAACCCAAATGGATTTCTAATGGGTAGTTTACAAGAAAGAGTTATGTTTTCAGCTGGGAAGGCTTCCAGGTATCTATTGTCCCAGTTCACTGCTGGCCACTTCTAGTAGAACAATGAATTGTTAGAATCCACTTATGGGCCAAATCATGTTATAATAAATTAAACCATGTTCATCAATGGTGATGAGAGACTAAGTAGAACAGCTAAGATCAAATTACATATGACATTAAAAAAAAGAACATATGAATAGATAAAGCAGATTTAGGATTAGAAAAAGTAAAAGAGTATCTCTTTTTTGATGTTCAAAAAAAGTGAACTGAAAGGAAACGAAAAAATTGTAGACACTAAAAAGTATACTTTCAGATGATATCTAGAAAAAAATAGAAGGGCTTAAAGATAAGTAAATAACAGTTATATCTAGATTGCTTGGCTATATTTACTACTTAAAAATTTAAAAATAGGAATATTTAATAATAAGGTATTTCTAACTTAAATAATAACGACAGCATTACTGCCTACACAATCCAAGAGGTAATTTTGTATGTGAAAAGAATGTTTTTCAGTAGAAGCTTCTAGAACAAGCAAGCTACACGTTCTTGAAAGAAACTCCAAATTTAATTTATCTGATAAATGTGAAATAAAAGAAGTATTTCTTTTTATGTGTTCTCATTGGGTAAATAAACAGATAAAGCTATGGGAAAAATAAAATAGTTTCAAAAGGAATTTTTATTTCAGCACAGTGGAAAATGGGGGAAAATTGGTCTGGGTTGCACACAAAATAAGGAAAGCTACACAGGAATAAGTGTGTATCTAGCTTTGAGCAAAAGCTTATACACAGCAAGAGCTAAAGTATTTAACCTTTTCAAGACACTGTCTCTTAATCTGCAAAATAGGTTTAACAATACCTACCCAGTTTTTCCCCAGGGCTTTCTTGAGGACTACATGAAAAGTCCAGTGTCTGGCTTAATAATACTCAAGAAATATCTGATTTTTGTTTAACTGCAAAGAGAACAAAAAACAGACTATAATTCACATTCAATAAAAGTTCAAAAATTATAAAACAGAGAGTAAGCAAATAAAAAATTCAGGTATACAGTCAGCCCTCTGCAACTTCATTCATAGATTCAACCAACCAAAGATTGAAAATATTTGAAAAATAACTGCATCTGCATTGAACAGACTTTTTTTTTTATCCTGGTCATTATTCCTTCCATAATACAGCATTTACACTGTATTGAGTATTATAAGATTATAGAGATGATTTAAAGTATTTGTGGAAGTATACTAAGTATATGTAGTATTTTTAATATTTATTTTTTAGATATAGGTGGACACAATATCTTTATTTTATATTTATGTGGTGCTGAGGATCGAACCCAGTGCCTCAAACATGCTAGGCAAGCACTCTATCTCTGAGCCATAACCCCAGCCCGTATATGTGGCTTTCATCCTGCATTCTTATCATATACCTTCACAGTTCTAAACCACCAATATTAATTATGTGTGTGAAGACTGTAGAGCTGGACAGCCTGGGAGCAAGTCCTGGCATCACCATACACCGCTGTGCAACCCTAGAAGTCAGAATTAACTCTCTGGGCTCAGTTTTCTCATCTGTAAAATAAGGGTCATAGTAATCCCTACATCTCACATCTCCCACGGTATTTATTCTTGCCTGGATACCTTTTATCTTTCACTAACTGGTAGCCACACATTCCTTCGTCTCCCCATGCAGACAGCACTAATCCCAAAGTTCTATCACATGGCCCCTATAGAGTTCTCCATACACAAGCTGTTTGAAGAACAGCTTAGATACTTAACAGCCTTAGGATGTGTTTTAAGGATCCAGAGAGACTTATGTCCAATTGCATCTTGGTTGAGCAGAAAACTTCCCATTACAATGATGAGTAACCAGCTCTTAGCCCACTATCTGTTATTTCTTGTCTTAACTTTTCTTAGGATTTTTTTTTTCTGATTCAGATGTTCCTAAGTCTTTTCATACTCTAGACTCTAATTTGTTTGCTACTACAATTTTTAAAGTATTTTTTTAAATACCAAGAATAATACTTTCATTCTACAAAAGATCTGTGCTGTAGAGGAATACATCCATTCCCAAGGGTGACCATCTTTAGAGACCTTGTATGGATAAATCCCAGACTCTTCAATAGATTGATAGATAGACAGACAGACAGACAACAGCACCCTAAGCAGGAATAAAATCAACTAGACACTAAAAATGTTTGTTGAGTAAATTAATTAACATACCACTATATCAGAGACTCATAGTTGTATACTAGTATCTATTCTTTCCATTCTATTTTATTTTATAGAACCCCGAATTTGACCTGATATATTCATTATAATCTTCTAATTACATATTTATCTACCTTTAGAATGGGAGCTACTCCAGAACAAAAACAATATCTGGTATCTACAAGGCATAGATTAAAAGTTGAATGGATGACACCATTTATTAATCCACTTGCTTTTCCATATTATGAAAGCAACCAACTGAATTTTCTATGATCCTTACCTTATTGCTTACCCAAACCACTTGCCTTTTCTCAGCTGGATATTAGGCAATGGCTTATCTAAAAGTGAACTCATGAAGGTTTTTCTATTATCTGATTGAGAAGGGTTTTCTATTATCTGATTGAGTTGTCTGCAGATAATTTATATATTTTCTGCTGTGTTTTACTGGTTCTTCTTAAATGTTGATTTTGTAAAACTGTAATGTTTCTTCCAGCCAGTATCTAGTAGTCGGACTTACTGTAGGGTAATATGGCAGGTTTACTACCTGGGAATAAGTGGGGATGACTTCATTTCCCAGCTGTCCCTGCAAAGGGGAATCTAAGCAGAACTGATGTGAACATTTTCTGAAAGTACCCCCTCTTCATCCTTCCTGTTGGCTGAAATGTAGATATCATAGTGGTGAGACCTCATGGGTAAGGAAAATGCCCTGTGGGTGACAGAGCAACAGGATAGAAGGAGCATGGGCCCCTGTCATGGTGGACTGCATGTGTTTACATGGATGTCTGAGAAATATATCTCTACTTAATGTAGGTATTAATTAACATAAAAGCAGTTTATATCAACAGATTACCCTTTCTCATCCTCTTCTTATTTCTTACTTCTTAGTTTGTAAGCCAAGAACCAGAAGGGCCTCCCATACTGATTCCACTACCTCCACCAACTCAGTTCCAAGACACTAGAGCCAACTCCTTCCACCCTGTACCCGTTAGGAACGCATATCGCAGGATTCATGCGGGCCTTTCCTTCTCTCTAATGGGTGACTACACTGGCTTCTTTCCTTTGCCCAGTGCTGTCACACCAGGTGAATTCCACCTATCAAGCACTAGGGTTTGGGGCATGTTCTACAACACACCCTGGAGAGAGTTAAATGGGCTTCAGTAGAAAAATTTATGGAAGCCAAAGGTCCCCAGTACTTCTATCATTTCACAGAGAAGTGCACTGGGCAGGGTCTACTGCTGTGCAGTGAGTCTGAGTCACAGCAGAGGGCCTTATTCTCCAGTACAGGAGGCAGTTTGTCAGTGCTTAGTGACAGGCAGCCTCAGAGAGGGGCCAACTGTTCATATGAACTGTCAGGGAAAGCCAAGAACCCAGAGCTTTCGTCTGCGTGTTAAGGAGAGGAAGCCAGGTCCTGCAGGTGCTGAGCTCCAGTGTCATCTCACACACAGAGGAAGGAGGCCACTCATTCTCTATACCTGCTGGTTCCATCCAGTGTACCCAGAAGCAATGGGGTCAACCTCCGTTTGACACTCTCTGCACGGTTCAAAGAGCATACAGCTGCTTATGAATAATAACATAAAATATGTCCATCCAATCACAGCAAAGGGCCAAAATATATTCACATCATTAAAGAAAAAACAATTCTAACATCAGTCTCAAATGAGGCATTCTAACAGCAATAGCTTCCTAGAGTAAACAAAAGGCTAGTGAAAAAGGGGTTAAGTCATAAAACTGCAGATATCAAAGAGAATTTAAAATGAATCTTTTACATGTGATCATTAAAACAGCATAGGCAATGAACTATAATTCATCTCCTAAAGTAATGGGAAGATTGATTTAAACCAATAAAGACTAAAATATTCTAAGGTTGCTATAACTTTATTCTCTTTCATCTTCATATATTTATTATAGTAGTCTGCTTCTGGAAGGGTAGCATTGATTTTTTTTAGAAGAATGCTTTAAGTTAAAATAAAAATACTATCCAAGTGAGAAACTGAGAAAGAATTATAGATACAGTTTGTGGAACTCTCCAGAGTTCTTATTATCAGACCTTAAATTTGGGACATTGGAGAGGTTGCCTCAACAGCATTTTATATTCCACCACTGAGCAATTTTTCCTTCATCAGCTCGACATGTAAAGGAGAGGAAAAGAAGAAGAGAAGATTACGAGAACTAAGGTGCACAGAGGACTCAAATGACTAGAGAAACTGAGGATGCTGACAGATGATCACAGTGCAGGTGGAAGAGAAGTAACCACCATAATAGAAAACTATTCTCTCTTCTGCATTCTGTACCCACCCAACCCCCCCAACCTAGTGCACACCCTTTAGAAATTAAAGGTAAAAGAATATGCTAGATTCTTTCTTCGAGAAGAGCTGAGTAGAGCCAAGGGAGCAATTACTGAAGTCTTTGCTCAGCTAAATTCTAACCTGGTTGAAAGCCACATCCTCCTTAGAGTTTTCTTTCACTAGAGCTGTGAGCTCCTCACGGACAAAGATAGAGCCTCTCCTTGGTATTAATGATAGGTCCTTAGGCAGATGCTCCATGATTGAATTAATTAAGAATATAGATTTAAGATGGTGCTTTCCCTAGCCCCAGTGAGAAATATTTCAGGGTTTGTTTAGTTAAAATAAATATTTAAATTTCATATAAATTTACCTCGTTTAGAAACTTGGCAATTTTGCTTTTAGATTTCACACATAATATGAAGGTTCTGACAACATGTATCACAAAGCTTGACATCTGTATTATGATCCAATGGTGCGAAGTGAAATCTAAAGTGACTTCTATAACCCTGCTTCAATTTCAAATAAAAGCAAAGCACAGAGTCATGATGAGTTCCTATTAATAATGCAAGAAAGCCACAGATTCAAGAGACCCACCTAATAGACATGCATAAAGAATAGCAGATTGTCATTCACAAGTAGCCCCTTAATTTTTCAACAAATCACTAATGAAAATGATGCTCATAGAGGAAATAGTTACCCACATTACCATCTATGGAAAAGCTTGACATTACAATTTATTATAGTTGTAAGTTTCAATTTAAGATACAATGGAAGCTAAGGACCATGACATGGAATAAAAATATACTGATTTGGGTTTCAAATATTATCAAACACCTGCATATTCCTCCATCTGAAAGTTCCATTAATCTTTTTTTAAGGAGACTAAATTCTTAGGAATTTTTAAATGATTTCTATCTTGAATCATAAAATGACATTTAGTTTTATAATAACTTAAACCAAACACATTCTAATACAAAAATGATTAGAGTCTTCCCCTAAATATCACTGTTTTCCAGGACAGTCATAGATTTTATTTATTTGCAATCCTAAATACCTAGAGAAAAAGGATTTGTTTTCACTACAACATCCAATTCAAAGCCTTGTGTGTATAGGCAATTAACATAAGTGATTAGACAATAATATGAAGTGAATTGTTTAGCTAGTTTCATAGGTTAGTGACATTGCTTTCTTACACCTATTTATTTATTTTTATGTGGTGCTGAGGATCGAACCCAGTGCCTCACACATGCGAGGCAAGTGCTCCACCACTGAGCTACAACCACAACCCCTTCTTATTCCTATTTAAATAATAGCTATATAGCTGATATTTAGATATCAGCTGTTAATTAAACACTGACTGCGTACCTCTGTACCTCGGCTTTGAGGGAAACTGAAGGGAAATAAAGTATGAAGGTGATGCATACCTTCACAAAGATTATAATCTTAGCCTGGGATGGTGGTGCCTGCCTGTAATCCCAGTGACTGAGGAAGCTGAGGCAGGAGGATCACAGGTTTGAGGATAGCATCAGCAACTTAGCAAGGCCCTAAGCAACTTAGTAAGATCCTGTTTCCAAATAAAGAATAAAAAGCATGGGCTGGGGTTATGGCTCAGTGGTAGAGTGCTTGCCTAGAATGTGTGAGGCCCTGGGTTTGATCTTCAGCACCACATATAAATAAATAAAATAAAGGTCCATTGACAACTAAAAAAATTTTAAAAGATAGAATAAAAACACCTCTGGGTTCAACCAATCTCCAGTACCAAAAAAAGAAAAAAGGAATATTATAATCTTACTCTGAAGAAAGAGACTTAAAATTTTTAAAAGGTTTTATTAAAAAAAATGACTCAGATTTGAACTGATAAATGTAACAACTACTTCAAAAATAAATTATAAATATATTTATAATAAATTAAAAATACAGATCATCAAATCCAACCACCATAAATGCCTCTCCTCTGACTCTGACTCCAAGCAAATTGGTCAATTAATATTTACTTATAATACTAAAGCAACAGTAAAGCATTATAATACTAATAGAAACTTCTCAGTAAGGTTTTCAAGGTCTTTTATAATCCATCTCTGAACTACCTTTCTAGTATTATTTCCCATTGACCAGCCCATGCACACCATGCTGTGCTCTCTAGCCAAAAGAGAATATTCCCTCCATCTCAAACTCCTTCGTGTTCTTCTTTTTAGTTCATATTTCCATCCAAACCTATTTCCAATGTAAAATAATTTCATTATAGCAAGGTAACCAGTATTCTAATATCTAATATCTATGTTCTCCTTTTGTACTGGGGCACATGGCTACAATATATTTTCTCACCACCATTGCAGTTAGATGTAACCATGTTGTCTGGATTCCAGAATATAATTGGAAGTGCTGGGGGCTACTTTTTGATCTCACCTATATAAATTCTCATCCAAAGATCTGGCAGAAGGTAAAGTATCAGTGGGAGGAACCTAAGATCTCTGAATCACTCTGGAAGTCACCTTCCACCACAACTGATCTGCTTTGGCTATTGACCTGTGCAGTAACTAAGAAATAAGCCAACCATTATGTCACTGATATTTGGGAGTGCATCTTTTATAGCAGCTAGCATTATTTACCTTAAGGAATAAGTCCACTTATCTTTTAGTTATAAATCAAAGTTTTCTCCTCTGCAATCTCTTCCACCCCCTCAGGCAGAATTAATCACCCTTTTCATTGTGTTCCTAGAGCATTTATTATGTATATTTATTATTTATTGCTGTTTAAATCATTTACTAGCTTGTGAGAAACCCAAGGGTAGACACTTTTAGTCATCTGTGAATCTTAAACACCTCGCCACAGTAGGTATTCAAAGAATGCTTACTGAAAGTTTTTGATTAACAGTATTTGAAAAAGTTATATTAACTTAATAGGAAGCTTATGCCTGATTTTTACTCAGAACATGAGCGAAAACATTTTTTTTTCTTTTTTATGGTGAGTGAAAAAATACTACTTACTGTTGGTGCAGCAATGCACTCAACTTACATTTGAATACCATGCCTAGACTATTTCCTTGAATAAACATGGTTTGTTTTTTCTTCCTCTTTCTGATGTTTAAAAATATAGATCATCAAATCCAACCACCATAAATGCCTCTCCTCTTACTCTGACTCCTAATAGCTCCTTAGAGCTTACGTGACAACTTTCTGGTAAATAATTATTGTCTGTTGAGAATTTTCAGAATAGTTTTATTTTTACTTTGGACAAAAAAAAACCAAAAAACTGATGGATGTAAACATCTGGTGTTCATCCAATAATACTCTAGCTGCAAAGAATTTTTTTAAAAAAAGAATCTGAAAAACAAATGTTAACGTAAAACTGAAAATATTCTGAGATTCAAATTGTATTCTAGAATATCAAAAATTGAAACAATACCATATGCTCATGAGACATTCATAAGTATTATGTTTCTGCTTCCTTTCCCAAGGTGCATAATCACACTGGAGAGTTTCCTAGGTATTATATGTAAGGGAATAGCTACACATGCACACATAGAATACTACTGAATTAAGCCCTGGTGTAGATAGTGAGACAAAATGTTCTATCCCAGTGCAGTTTTTATGGCCCATCAAAACTCCCAGCAAGAGAGAGAAAGCTGTCACCATACTACGTATTCAGGGTAGGAGCGTGTTACAGTTTGAATATGAGTTATCTGTTAAAAGCTCCTGTGTTAACACAAAAATTGTTCAGAGACAAAATGATTAGATTATAAGAGCTATGACCTAATTGGTGAATTAATCCATTTGATAATAATTTGAATGGACTAACTGGGTGGCTAGGGAGGACATGGCTGGAGGAAACATGTCACTGGGGCATGTCTTGGAAGGTTTTGTCTTCTCTGTGGCTCATTTGCTTGCTCTCTCTGCTTTCTGGATGACATGAGGCAAACAGCTTTCCTCTGTCATGCCTTCTACCATGATGTTCTGCCTTTACCTGAGGCCCAGAGAAGTGAAGTTGGTCAACCATGGACTGAACCTCTGACACCGTGAGTCAAAATACACTTTCCTCCTCTAAATCATTAGGTATTTTGGACACAGCAATGAAACATAGTTCAAGAGATCTGAGTGCACAATATTGTCTAAACCACTGACCTTTAATGCCCAGGTTTATATGTCATTATTCCAGAATAAGTAAAATAATGTAGAATTCTCTTGACTTTTCAAACCAAAATCATTCTGAGGGAATCCTCATCTTCATGTAGGGGAAATGGCAGTAGAGGGTAGAAGGTACTAAGGGTAGAAAGCCCAGCTGTGCCTGGAAGTAATTCTGTCTCCCAGGACTTGGGGAAGGCATCCTCCCTGATTCTGTCTGCCTCATTCTGACACCCTTTCATCTACTCAGTTGTCACAGGAATGTGGTCTGCAGGTATGAGACAAAATTCATTTCCCTACATGAAAAACTATGCTACCATTTATGAAGAGGCAAACAAGTATATTTTTCACATTTTCTAAAATGTCAATACATTGTTATTTTTTTCCCAAGAAATGTTGACTGATCTGATTTTCCAAACATAGTAATGATTGCAGTAAGACAAAAGAAAGCAAAATAGAATCCATAAACTTCACCAAGATTTTGTCCTATTAAAAAAACCCCAAAAACCTAGAGTAGGAATTGAGAGCACATTGCAATGATTCTTCCTAGAATACATTGAAAGGCTATGAAAAACTAAGCCTTTAATATTTTTTAGAAATATGAAATCTCCTACAATTGCTTTCTCTCAATGCATTGTGTGAGGACAATTTAGCTAGAGCTGATAAAATTTTCTTTCTAGAGACAAACAGGGCAAAGACAGTTAAGAACAAACTTAAAATCATGCTCTGACAAGTAATAACCACTCAGTATTTTCTAATGGGAAGCACCATGACTAACAGCAGTGCTTTTATATCAGAAAAAAATAAAAGGTAGATTATGATAGTAATGATTCTCTATCACCACAAAAAAGGAACAATGGTGGGCTGCAGCTACAGCTCAGTGGCAGAGCACTTTGCTAGCATGTGTGAGGCACTGGGTTCGATCCTTAGCACCACATAAAAAGAAATAAAATAAAGGCATTCTGTCCATCTACAACTACAAAAAAAAATTTTTTTTTAAAGGAATAGTGGTGTGTATCAAACAGAAATCTATGTACATCTTCATATTCCCTTGGCCATGCTTCTTCCCACTAGGGGGCTAAGTTTCCACCACTAGCATCACCTGCTCTGGGAATGTTGAATTTTCCCTTGCAGCTGCTGCTGGGCAATTGGACCTATCAGTCACCCACCTGGAGTTTCTGGCTTCCCCTGCTGTTCATAGATGTGAGAGCTGGCATCCCACATAACAGCTGGGGAGGCCCAGTGAATCTCAGAAATGTGGCAGAATTAACTCTCTGAGGAATAAATTCTGACCCAAGAGACAGGAGGAAGCTGAGCAGAAAGTGTCCTCGCCCTGTCTTAGGCACTGCTCTGAAGCACAGTTATTTTTTCCCAAACTATCCAGAAATTTTCCACATGGCAAATGGATGCAGTTGCCAAGGAATTGCCATGTTCCTTGGTGACCCGATGAAGCAGTAAAACCGGCTCTGGAACCATCACCTCCCACTCTTTACTTCTTCCCTTGACTCCTTCTCCCCACCTTTTAAAAATTGTGGTAAAACACACATAACACGTATCTTCCCCATGTTAACCATATGTAAGTGTACAGTCCAAGACTGCTGGGTATATTCACATTGTTGCCAATGTTGTGGGACAGACCTCTAGAATGTTTTCATCTTGCAAAACTAAAACTCCATGCCCACTGAAAACCGACTACTTATTTCCCCTGCTCCAGTCCCTTGGCAACCCACTGGTTTAATTTGTGTGCCTATGAGTTATACAGCTTTCATAAGTGCAATCGTGCAACACTTGTCCCTTCCCTTTTTCCTCACCTTGTTGACCTGGATTTGTATATGCCTAATAAATTATTAGTAGTTCATTCCTTGCTTTAGGCTAGTCTCTAGAAAATTCTGGCTAGGACACAGTGTTCCACTGACTTGGATATTAGAATTAGTGCGGAAAGTTTTCATTTGATAAGAAGCTTTTTTTCTGATAAGTACCTGGTTTTTACATCACCATTTTTATTGTAGATATTAAGCCAGCAATTAGAGCCTCAGTAATAGTGGCAATGATGATGGTAGGGGTGATAGTGGGTGATGGCAACATGGTAGTAGTGGAGATGGTTAAGCTTTATTGAGCTCTTATAGCTAGGCACTATGCATTATCGTACTTCATCTTGTATGTAAAGTCTTAATATCACATGATATATTTATTATCACCAGATAATAACTGAGGTTATGAAGGTTAACTAAGAACTTGACTGAGGTCACAGAATTAATAAGGGGCAGACCTGGGATTTGAACCCAAGCCTTCTCTGCCCTCAGAGCCTGCCCATTAACCATGTGACCTATTAAAAAATCAGTTCAAAAATAATCAAATCAACCCGAGTCTGATATGCACATGATCTTTTCTAATTGCTTTACATTTGTCTTTTTGTTGTTAAATTCCTAAAACAATACTAAGAAATGAAAAAATGCTCTTTGATGCATAAAAATTCTATTATTTCTCCTCAAACCTAGAAACTAAATAAAACTTTCCCATTTATTTTATTGTAGGAATAAAATAGAAAATTTATGAGATCTGTGAAAATAATACATTTCCAAAATGTACTTGGTTTGGAAGTACCAGAAAGAAAGAAAATAGATGAGTTTTTTGAAATTAATTTGGGATAAAAATGCATATACAATGAAGCTTACACACTAAAAGTATTCTGTACATTTGTTTAATTTCAAACATATTTCAATGTTTTTTCTGCATCCTTTTTGCTCCTGGAGGTAGCCTGGGGCATTTTTATGACTGTGGCCAGATGTCAGGTTGTGAAATTTTATAAAAACTTTGAGATCTAAAGATCACCCAAATAACCACCCATTGTAAGATGGCATGGAATACCACTTCACTTTCTTCAGATTCATTAATGCATAATCCACAACTGGAAAATGGTCTATCTTTTTAAAAAAATATTTTTATAATTGAAGATGGACAGCATGCCTTTATTTATTTATTTTTTTAAATGTGTTCTGTGGATTAGACCCGGTCCCTCACACATACTAGGCAAGTATTCTGCCACTAAGCTACAGCCCCAGTCCAGTCTCTCTTCTTGTGTTGGTACTTCATGAATTTAATCAGTCATTTATATTTATCTCTTATTTTTCTCTTAGATTGTCTCCACCCTATTCCTAACCCCTTGACAGCCCTGGGTTAGATCCTTATTCCTATTCTGTCCTTCCTTCATTTTAAAGCATTTATTTCCCTATTCAAAATTTTCTGTGGATTCTCCCTCGTCTAAATTAAGCACACACATCTTTGTCTTGCATCCAAACCCACATCCGCCATTGTTGTGTATAGCTTCCTCCATTAAGCCCTTTGCTCCGTCTTATTTAAATATTGCTGCTGACTTTTTCCTTGTACCTAAGATGTAGCCCCTACTGACTCACCCTCAGCAGTACCGGTCCTTCAAATCCCTTCTCCAAGGTTCCAGTCTCCACAGTCTTATCTCCCTTCTCATCTAAATGTGAGCTCTGCTTTTCACTGATCCCTACTGTACTGAGATTGAGCCTCTCCTATGACACCAGGTAACTCTGCCCCATACAATCTCCCTACTCAGTGGAAAGCTACTCAGGACAGGTGTGTTGGGTTTACTCTGTCTTTCCTTTGCCATCTAGTAGATAGCAGGGCTCAGTGGAAACAGAGGTTTTGAACCAGCAATTGCTAGGACTTCAGTGTTTATAAGCTTAGTTTTGAAGGAATTCTGTGCCTAGAAGTCCTCAAGTTAGCAAACGTGATAGAACAAAAAGGGTGTCAATTCTGTAGCCAAATTGTCTGAGCTGATCCTGGCTCCCCCCAGCAATATCTTGACCTTGGGCAAGTTATTTCTGTCTCATTTCCTCATCTATAAAAGGAAGCTAACATTACCTACCCTATAGGGTGGTTAAGAAAAAAAGTGAGATAATATTGGTATTACACTTAGCTTATTACCTGGCATATAAAGAACTAAAAAAATGTCAAAATTAGGTCACCATGTTTTTGCTCTTTCCATGATCACAGTCTACTTTGAGATACAGGTTTTTCTGAACTTGGGGAAACTTTTTGCTTGCTTAGTGTGAGCTTTACTTGATATCATGTGTCAAGGTATAACAGCCAACAAGGAGATTGTGAAGGCAGGCAATTTACCTGGCTTGGAGGAGGAGTCCTGCTATACACCTTTGACAATGATTTCATTTCCCCAGGTCAGAGTGGCTATGAGGGCCAAAGCCCCAACAGCTCAGTCAAGGAGCTGACAGGGAAGGGCCAGGGGCAGAGGCTTGAGGTATGTCTGTAGTATTCATTTCCTATCATCTCCTTTCATACTTTCCTCTTATTTTTAATTTTACAGTGTGTATTCTATAATTTAAAATTCATAACCAAACATCTGCTTAAATCCTTCAGAATATAGATGAGACATTCATTTCAATTCAATTTACTAAATTCTACTAGTACCATTCTGTGCTAACGCTGGGTTATCAGAGAGAAATGAGGCAAGATCTCTGCCCTCCAGAACTCACATTTATTTGAAGGACACAGACAGGGAAACACACAACTGTAAAGTAATGTGTTAAAAGCCTTAACAGGAACATAGGCAATATACAGTGGTTTCACAGATTGATTCTGCCCTGGAGACTGGCTTTATTAAAACACCTCACAAATTAATAAACAATACAGGTCGATTTCAGTCATCATCCCCTGTCTTTAATGTGTTTTGTATATGCGGCTGTTACCAGAGCCCATTGAAGTAAAGTACAAAGTATAGCCCTGATTGTCATCATATGCCAATATTCTGTTTATGGATGCCATGCCCACATAGTTCATTCTGCTATTGCAAAAATGCAAATAAAAGTGATTGAAGATAACTTTTTTCTTTTAAACTATAGCTTTAAAATTCTATGACTAGATCTCTACTGCTAAACTAATCCCTGCTGTCCTTCAAACAGAGCCTGGTACACTTTTTTCCCATTTGGACTTCTATCATCAGGTTTAGAATTTGACCAACAACTATAAAGGCCACCGACTGCACCTTTAGCAGAGTAACCTAGCAATTCACTCTTCCCCCACCCTCAAGCTTCCCTCAAATCAGTTAATCATTTGCAGGTGTGAATTGATGTCCCGTCCAGCCTACCCCTGTGCAAGCTATCTAGTCTTTAGAAACAACCTCCACCTTGGAAATGTTTTCTGTCATAAAATTACAAACAACTATCAGTCTGACCACAGTCAATAATTCCCCAGGACTCAGCTTGACAGGAAAAAAGAATGAAGTGGAAGAAAACTAGATGCTTGCCAGCATGACTGTTAAATGTCAGCTATTTTGGAGTTTATCCCCACATGAGATATTTCTTTTGTATTTCGAGAATGATCGCTGAGAAAAAAAAAAAACACATGACAACATAATAAAGCCACGGAAGGCAACCCCATCATTACTGCTGCAGGAAATAAAACACAGATTAATGTCACCAAAGCACATGTCAGGAAGGGTAATGATGATGTATACAAATGAATCTTCTCATCCCGGACAAAGAACTTAAGTACCACCTAAACCAGAATAATAATTATATACAAATCACCAATGACAATGCTATCTGCTAAGCATGTATTATGTTCTCACATTTTCAAAGACTTTGTTTTATATTTTTTCTCTGAAAATTCGCCTAAAGTCTTCCCACTTGTATTCAAGTGACACAAATTACAAAGTGGTACAGCAAGCACTTACATTGCCTAACAAGGCAAAAGCAGCCTGCCACAGACAGCTATGGGACATCATGCCTCCCCAGGACTATTCAATGTGCCAAGAGAACTGTGCAGCTGTGAACAAGAAAGGCAAGAATGATGTGGACCATGCAGAGAGGCCATTTGGCTGTCCAAATCAAAACTGGATATAAACAACCATTTGGGAAAATAGGTTCCATTTGTGTTTCTGCTTCAGAAAAAAAACTAGGCAGAGAATGAAAAATAAATGAGAATGAAACAGAGGCCAATAACTGACCGGTACAAGGAATGGAAACTCTAGTTTGAAGACCAAAGACAAAAGGAGTTAGAATTCCTTTATCTCAGCTCTAAGCTATAGCCGTCTCAATATTAATTAGTAATCTTAATATACTTGGCTACAGCATCACTGTACTCCTATCAGCCAACTGAGGCCTCAGGGTCACTCAAGGAAGACATTAAAAAAGGGCCAAACTCTTTTTCTAAGAGTTATTGCCTTATTATACTGAGATCTTTGACCAAAATTTAATTTAAGCTCAACTTTTTAGGGATGTTCTTTATTTTATATCAAGATGTTTGCCTATAATCAAGAACAAATGAATGGGTTACAATTACTGAAATCTCACCTAAGAATTTTTATATTTGGACAAATTCTAAAAGGCTTAGATGTTGAAATCTATTAAAATTCACAGTTATTTGAAAGAATGAGGGCTGGGGACAGAGTTTGTTTCTTCTGTTTCTTTTATATTCTTTCCTCTTGAAAGAAAGTGTAAACTGGCACTAAGAATATAACTAGAGTTTCAGCAAAGCCTGTCCTCTCCTGCCTGCACTGTAAAGCCACTGCAGAGCTCTTCTACCTATGAGAAGAAGAGCAGCTTAAATATTCTAAAAATATAATAATAACACTACTAATACCAGCCAATATTTACTTTGTGCCTCCTATGTTCCAGACACTATTGTGCTTCATGTGAATTAACCCACATAATCCTTTAAAAAACCTTCATGAAGTCTCTATTATTGTATCCTTTTTTTTTTGTGGGGGGATACTGGAAATTTTACCTAATGGTTCATACATGCTGGGCTAGTTTCTACTACCGAGCTACATTCCCAACCCTTTTTATTTTTCTTTTGAGACAGGGTCTCACTCAGGCTGGCCTCAAATTTCTGCTCCTTCTGCCTCAGCCTCCTGAATAGTTGGGATTTCAGGTGTGACCAGATACCTGGCTCTACTATTATACTTACTCGATAGAGGAGGAAACTGAAGTTTGTGAAAAAAAATATACATATATAATACATATATGTATATATATACATGTGTTATATATATACATATACATATTATATTATATATATGTGTGTAATAAAGGTTACTTTCTTGCAATTTCAGTACATAGAGAACTAGAAAGGAGACAGACCTCCATATCAAACGAAGTATGTACCCTTTGCTGAAAGCACATTTGGTCATCCTTGCTGATTCAACAGCCCCTAGTCATGGCCTGTTCATCTATCTGGTGAGACACTTCATCAACTTGAACACTCTTAAAGTTCAAAAAGACCTCAGAGTCATTTAGGGCAATAATCCGTTTTGAATGGGTTTGGGGCCTTGATCTGAATATCTCCAGTCTTTTATGGATGAGATCTCTGGCTGCCAAGTTGTCATTTTTATTCACATCCATGAAAATCTTTGAAACGACTTATCTTTGGTCAGCCAAGATCTTCCTTTGCAGTGTCATTCTACACAGATCAAAAAATCTGAAGTAATGTCATAGTAGTATTTATTTTTTTATTTTTATTTATTTTTTTAAAGAGAGAGAGAGAGAGAGAGAGAATTTTTTTAATATTTATTTTTTAGTTTTCGGCAGACACAACATCTTTGTTTGTATGTGAATTAACCCACATAATCCTTTAAAAAACCTTCATGAAGTCTCTATTATTGTATCCTATTATATTGTATTGTATTGCTGAGGATCGAACCAGGGCTGCAGGCATGCCAGGCGAGCGCGCTACTGCTTGAGCCATATCCCCACCCCAGTATTTATTTTTTTTAAATAGATCTTTATTAAAATCAAGGATATGATGTTACAGATGTCCTCTAAGGGAGTGACAAAGGCCAGTCCTCATGGGTGGACTGAGATAGCTAAACTTCCCTCCCAGTAGCCAACATTTCCCTGAATCAAACTCCCTAGGAGCTTCATTTGGCTTCTCCATGGTTGAACACCTGATGCTTCACTCCACCTTAGTGAAAACACATTAGAAACAAACAACAGGTAGAATTTTTCTTGAGTGGAAGCTTTTGATAACTCACTACCCCTATTCAATTTTAGTGAAAGAAGTATACAATAGGTTTGAAGAGGCAAGAGGAAGTAGGGAGGTTGAACAAAGAAGAGGAAGGGAACACAAATTGAGGAGGTCCTTAGATGCACAGCACATAGGCATAAAAGATCTTCAGAACTTTTAAACCACTCACGATTGTTCTGGTACAGGATGAGTGTCATTTATACAAAATTCTTGAGAACAAAAATGTTTCCAATTTTGAATTTTTTGGATTTTGAAATAGCTGCTCATAAATAATATCTTGGCTGTGGGACCCAAGTAAAAACATGAAATCATTTGTGTTTTTTTTTATACAATATGTATAGCCTGAAGGTAATTTTAATGCAATATTTTGGTCTGCCTTGACTGCAGCCTATCACATGAGGTCAGGTGTAGAACTTTTATTCTGTTGCATCCATCATGTTGGCACTGAAAAAGTTTTAAATTTGGGGGCATTTTGGAGTTTGGAATTTTGGATTCTCAACCTGTACCATCAGTTTTCTTTCTGTGACCAGTATTCATCCTCCTCTAGAATGCCCTCCATTGTAGCTAGTATTTTTTTCCCCTTATACTATGAAAATATGCTCAGAAAAAATACCTGAAGCTTGTCCACACAGAGATGTGAATTTTTGAAACTTGAAATATTAGCACCATCAAAACCATATTTTTAACAGGAATGAAAACCTTAAAGTTCTGAAGCACTAGGTCTTGAATTTCATCAACCAGAAATTGTTCAAGGTATTTTGGGAGTCATAGATCCTTTCCAGGAAAGTCTCAATTCCTTGGGCTCCCCTGAAGTTGGTATAAAAAACACATGAAGGTTTTTCAGCTCTCTGCACGTGTTCTCTTTTCTGAGAAGGGGCTGGTGCTCCAGGTGGGTTGGCACTCTTTCTTTTCCCTTGACTAGCCCCAGTACATGCAACTTCATGAAAGTAGTTACCATATTGTACTTTGAGTTCATGTGACTGTGTCCCTGCCAGACTATGAGCCCCTTGAAAATAGATAGTGGGTCTTGGTCCTCTTGGTCAACACATTTTAGTAGGGCTGTATGACCACCCCTTCCTTTTAAATGGTTGTTCTGTGATGAATCCAACACACCAGCAATGACTCTACTACTGTGATCTTTAATGTGAGATACAACAAGAGTACCGGAAGTTCTCAGGGAATTGGCAAGTCTTTAACTTAAAGATCAACAACTGAGGCCAAGAAAGATTAATCTTTCCATGAAGCTATAAATTTTGTTAATGAAATATTTGTGGTTTTTGTTTAATGAAGTTTCAACTTCAACGTCTGTGCAAGGACATTTGCAGCAAGTGACATTTAGAAAAATACCTATAGAAGAATCCAAATCCATCCACCATTAAGTAAATACTCACTATGGATGAAAATACAGAAGTGAACAAGTAAAAAGGGGAATCATTCTCATTTCCCTTTTTCTCCAGGAATTTTAGACTCATTAAAAATAGATTGGGTTTGATTGTTTTTAAATTATAGGAAACTTAAAACTCTATATATCAAAATGCTAAGCCATTTATATAACAGCTGAAATGACTTCAAGGTGAAACAAATATTGCATTAACTAAATGAGGAAAAGCCAATGGCTGAGAGTAGATCAGCTAACCTCATTATTTAGGTAATTACCAAAAAAAAAAAACCCCAAAAAACAACAAAAAAAAACCATAACAAAAAAACAAAGACTGTCACTCAAAAAGCAAAAGGTAAGAACTTTCTGTGCTTCGAGAACACACAGTGGAAATGGGACCTTTTTAATATTGACTTCTAATTTGACATGCCCCCCCAACAGTATTTTAAGACAAATGCTTGAAATCAATTTAGGAGTCAAAAATACATTTTTACAATTGGAGATACAAAACATTAAGTATTATAATATACTTCCCATATCAAAAAAGAATGCTGATTTTTAAATAACATTATAAAAAAGTAAATATACAAAAAAAATCAAAGCTAACCATTAAATTTAAAACTTTTAAATTCATCAAGGAATAAAGCAACCACAAATAAAATAAAAAATTAGAAATCATGAACCTAAGGGCAGGTCACACAATACATTTTTGACTCAGTTTTCTTTTTTTTTAAATCCATGAAATAACAAACACTTTGACAAAATTAATTATAAGCAGTGCATATGTAAGCAAGAAACTGCCCACATCTACATCCTTCCCTGAAGCCTTCTCGTGTTTCCAGGGAATATTCATGAACAAAGCAGACGTTTAAAGAATGGTCCATAATTTCTTTGATCCTCCTTCCAATCTAAGCATTTTCACATCTCAGAAAGTCATTGTGTAATTTTTTAATATAAGTGCTTCAATCTGATTACTTTGAAAATTTGGTCTAAAGTTCACTTTTTTTGTCACAGAATTGCCTTTAAATTTCAGATTTTTTAATAAAGTACTTCACATTAACAGAATATCTCCCAAAACTCTCCCAGTCTGAAGAGGCCCATCACCTGTGAGAGATAAGGAGTGAGGAGGAGGGAGGAAAGAGTTCCCAGAAGAAGCATCTTAGGAAAAAATGAATAAACAAAACTACTTTTATTATCTATATCCTCTATGCTGAGATGTTTAAAGAGCTTCTTCAATGGAAAGGTCTGGGACAGGATTAAAAAAAAACAAAACAGTTTTCTGATATATCTATTGAAACAGTAAAAGTCAAAGAACAATATTAGACATCATCATTTTTGCCTTCCAAGCAAGCAGCTGACTTCCTGTTAAAAAAATAGCTTTAATCAGCATAACTGACCTTCGGCTAGATTAATAGGCTACCAGGCATGTTTCTCACAGTAGGCTGAGAAATTGCAAATAACATGAGAGAAAATTGTATAATCACTGAAGCAGAAGACAAGCAAATAATTTATACATGAGTCAATTGAGATGGAGTGGTCCTGTCTGTTTGCCTGTCCTCAACTTTGTCCACCGGAGGTGTAACATGCATGTTTTGGTGCTGGAGTGAGGTAATGTTTTATAAGAAGATAATGGCCTTGAGTTTTTTCCCCTTCTGAACATCGTTGAGGTACAACAACTCATTTGTGTCGTGCCTTGTTAAAACAACCACAGCCTCCATAACAGGAAGAAAGGAGGGTTAAGAATTGACAGGATTCCTGTCAACCCTGTGTATCCTGTAGGCTTATAAAAGGTAGAATCAATTCACTTCAGCAATGAGTAATAACTTCTATGTCCTTGAAGAAGCACTTTGTGAAATGCTAGTCACAGACCTATACAACCAGCGACACTGATTAAATGCTCTATTTGCCATATACTTTATTGAAGGTGGAGGTGGGGCAGGAAATTAACATTGCTTGCTTGGGCTTCCAGGAGCAGCATTGAGAAACAGGTCAGACCATCTTCAATTAGGAAATACCATTTGCAAATTACTGGTACTTTCTGATGAATTTCACAGAAATTAATAATTTATATAACCTCTGTTTAGCAGGCACTAGTTCTCCAAATTACATTTTTTTTTAAATGACTTCCCATCACTGAAGTATTTGCCTACAAAGGCACACATACAACTGCATGCAGCTGGAGAGGCTACAGATCTCGTTGTCTGGGACTTACACCCTTGCCAGTTGCTTCCATGGCAATAAAAGCTAGGCTTGCCCACACAGGGGATGATGCACTGTTGGCAACAGGTCCACCTTGGCCCCTGGAGCCCTACCTCCACTAGTTTGTTCTGCATGCCAGTGTGGCCAGCTCACAAGGCCATGGCGAACTTGCGGTTTTTCTGTTCCTGCTTGTCCGTCTGAGACATATGTATCCCACGGGAATGCCTTGACCTTTTCTGGTCTGATGGACTTATTGTTAAGGGAGGTTTCGGTACCTGACAATAATAGATGTTGAAACTAAATTTCTCCCCCCTCCCTCCTGCTTTTGGGTAGTTTTCCACTTCTGCTGCTTGGGGTATAAAAAAAGGCGTGTTAGCAATAAAGATTATTATTGACTCCTGGATGAAGAACCTTGGTGTCCTGTGTGTCTTTTAACCTCGCCGTCCCTCGCCGGACTCGGCTCCCTTGGCCGGACGCGGCAATTGGAGGCTCCCACCGAGATCCGGAAAGCAGGGGTAAGCGGACGGGGCTCACCTTCTAAGAAAGAAGGGGGAGGATTGGTTTAAAGATATTTTAAAGAGACAGGGTACGTACCATGGGTAACTCAACAGCGAAGGTTCGTCTGGCCAACGAACTGAAAGAGCTGTTGAATACACAAGGAACAGGAATAAAAACTAAGACTGCAACCGAATTCGTTGAAATTATTGCCCAGGCTTGTCCTTGGTTTCTGACAGGAGGATTTCTTAATAATAGTGACTGGGACCTGGTGAGGCATGACCTTCAGAAATTATTGAGGGACCGGGGCTCGGACAGTGTCCCAGTTGCCACCTTTTCCTTATGGAGGTTGGTAAAGGATGCTTTATTAACAGATAAAGTAAAGATCAAGGATCAGCTTGCTGAATGTGAACAGGCCCTTAATCAGGTGCAGGAAGAGCAAATGGCAGAATCCTTAAAGGATGAGGGTCCTCTTGAGGACTCGGGCTCGGGGGTAGGAAACACCTCCAGATTTCTAAGCCCAAAAATGATCCTGAGGACCTCAGTTCTCTCTCTGAGGAAGAGGAGGGATTAGAAAGGGAGATAGAGGAACTAGAACATCGCCTTAAAAGGGCAAATGTGAGGGTGCCTAGGGCCCCCTCAATTGCCGCACCTCCTCCCTATAATCCTGATTGGAATGAGGACGCCCCTACTAGACGGGCGGGGGTCCACTGGGGTTCTAGAGCGGCTCAGGTTTTTCCAATGATTGAAAACGCCGATGCTGATGGACAGCCGGCCAGAGCCCATGTCCCCCTAGCCTTCAAGGACATAAAACAGCTTAAGGAGGCGGTCATTAATTATGGACCTCATGCCCCTTTCACATTGACCCTCTTCGAGTCCTTCTCAGCCAGTCAACTAATACCTAATGATTGGCAGCAACTTTGCAGGGCTGTGTTATCTGGAGGGGATTTCTTATTGTGGAAAAGTGAATATCATGAAAGGTGCCGCGAGCTGGCTCAGATTAACCTGAATGCGGGCCATCAACGGCGAAATGCTGAAATGTTGACAGGAACTGGGCAGTATGCCACCATAGGCCAACAAATTAATTACGACCCAGGTGTTTATGCTCAAATAGCCTCAGCTGCAGTCCATGCCTGGAAAGCCCTGCCCGTTTCTAAGACTGAAGCAAAAATTTCCAAGATCTCTCAAGGACCCTCTGAACCTTATTCAGACTTTATAGCCCGCCTAATGCAGGCTGCTGGAAAAATATTCCCTAATCTGGAACAGGCTATGCCACTTATTAGACAACTGGCATATGAAAACGCTAACACTTACTGCCAAAATGCTATTAAGTCCTCCCGGGCCAAAAGTATAGATGACATGATTCGAGCATGCAAAGATATAGATGGGCCTCATATTACTGGTCAGGTTTTGGCTGCTGCCCTTAAGACTGGAATGCAAAAAGCTGATAACAGGGGAACCCGCTCTAAGGGGTGTTTTAAGTGTGGGAAAGAGGGACATATAAGGAGAAACTGCCCGGAAAGGAGCGAGGGTGCTGGCAGAGGGATGCCTGGACTTTGTCCTAGATGTCATAAAGGAAATCATTGGAGCAGTGAGTGCAGGTCAAAATTTGACATCCAGGGTAACCCAATACCGTCGGGAAACGGGAGCAGGGGCCCGCCCCGGGCCCCGGAAGCCAAAGTGTACGGGGCAATGCAGGGACGAAACAGTGCCCCAGGGAGTGGGCGTCTCCGCCGCCTCCCACTGACCAACCCCTTTCTATCTGGGAACTCCCCAGGGGAACACCAGGAAGCGCAGGACTGGACCTCAGTTCCACCTCCCGAGCGGTATTAACTCCCCAAATGGGACCTCAGACGCTGCCTACTGGGGTTTTTGGACCCCTGCCAGAGAGGACGGTGGGACTAGTGTTGGGACGAGGTAGCGCAACTCAGTGGGGCTTGAAGATTCTTACGGGGGTTGTTGATGCTGATTATCAGGGAGAAATAAAAATAGTAGTAGAAGCTACCCAAGGAATTGTTATTCTTCCCCCCGGGGAGCGTATAGCTCAATTGCTGCTGCTACCCTTAGCTTCCATTCCTGGGCACGCCCTCCGTGGGTCCCGGGGCGACGGCAGCTTTGGCTCCACTGGAACTCCCCAGGCCTTTTGGGTAGCTCATTTGGATTCGCGTCCCAACCTGACCATTGAGATACAGGACAAGGCTTTCAAGGGAATACTAGATACGGGGGCGGATGTCTCTGTCATTTCTGAAAAACAATGGCCACCTGCCTGGCCCCTCCAGAGTCCCTCGGCCATATTACAGGGGATAGGACAGACCCGACCAAAAAGAAGTGCCTCCTTTTTAAAATGGAGAGATGGCGAAGGACATAGTGGCCATTTCCAGCCCTATGTGGTGACTGGACTCCCCACGAACCTTTGGGGGAGGGACTTGCTTCATCAAATGGGGGCTATTCTCACTACCCAGACTTTGAAAGGAAATAATGACTTTGTTAATGATGCAATGCTAGACATGGGATGGATCCCTGGAAGGGGACTAGGAAAGAGACATGAGGGCAGAATATCACCCGTGGATCCAGCAGAACAGGTTACCCGGCGGGGAAGAGACCGGAGAGGACTGGGAAATTTATCCTAGGGGCCACTGAAGTGCGGCCACCTCCACTGTCCATTACTTGGTTATCAGATGACCCTGTGTGGGTAGAACAGTGGCCCCTAACTAAGGACAAATTACAGGCCGCTTCCCTATTAGTTCAAGACCAGCTTAAGTTAGGACACGTGGTGCCCTCTACCTCCCCTTGGAATACCCCTATTTTTGTTATACAAAAGGGGTCTGGGAAGTGGAGACTTCTTCAGGACCTACAAGACCAGATAGACTCTCTAGCAGAAGTAGTTCTTCAGAACAGGCGGGGTTTAGACTTGCTTACTGCCAATCAAGGGGGAATTTGTTTAGCCCTTGGGGAGAGGTGCTGTTTTTATGCTAACAAGTCTGGCATAGTTCGCACAAAAATTAAACAACTCCAAGAAGACCTAGAAAAAAGGAGGAGGGAATTATTTGAGAACCCTCTCTGGACTGGACTTAATGGATTTTTGCCTTATCTTCTTCCCTTATTGGGACCATTGTTAGGCCTCCTTCTAGTAGTGGCAATAGGACCCTGCATTGTAAATAAGATAGTACAATTCATTAAGGATCAAATTAATATCTTAGCCTCTAAGCCGATACAGGTTCACTATCAACGCTTGAAGATGGATGATCGCCTCTCTGAGATATACTTCAGACCTATCCGAAGATGAGTGTCCTCCTTAAAAGAAGAACTCCTGCCATATCTTTTCTCTATGCATACCTCTCCCTCTTGCCTTCCTGTATTAGGATCTTTGCTGTCTAATCTCTCGGTCCAATCACATCTGCCATTCGGTGGTGACGGTCATGGGTCCCGTAGGTGGAGACGGTTAAGCGTTTACCGCAATAATGTCTTGATAGGTCATAACACCTTGAGCTGATCTTGTAGTACCCAGTGACGGGCAACTTTCACGCTTGCTGTGCGACCTAAGACAGGGAATCGGGGCCTTCCCAGAGACGGGTAAGCATCGCAAGGGCTGTGAACGACCTAAGACAGGGGCTACTTGATTCCCACTGGCATGCAAAAAACAAAAGAGGGGGACTTGTTGGCAACAGGTCCACCTTGGCCCCTGGAGCCCTACCTCCACTAGTTTGTTCTGCATGCCAGTGTGGCCAGCTCACAAGGCCATGGCGAACTTGCGGTTTTTCTGTTCCTGCTTGTCCGTCTGAGACATATGTATCCCACGGGAATGCCTTGACCTTTTCTGGTCTGATGGACTTATTGTTAAGGGAGGTTTCGGTACCTGACAATAATAGATGTTGAAACTAAATTTCTCCCCCCTCCCTCCTGCTTTTGGGTAGTTTTCCACTTCTGCTGCTTGGGGTATAAAAAAAGGCGTGTTAGCAATAAAGATTATTATTGACTCCTGGATGAAGAACCTTGGTGTCCTGTGTGTCTTTTAACCTCGCCGTCCCTCGCCGGACTCGGCTCCCTTGGCCGGACGCGGCAATGCACCTGAGGGAACTGAGGAAGCCAATGATGTGGGAGCTTGAATGACCCAGGAGACTGGCCAGTAGGGGAAGGAAGGTAGGGAGGGTGTGTTCTTGTTCCAACTTCATTTGGTATTTCCAGTGGCTTGGAGAAAGTTATTTACATTTTCCACGATCATGTTAAAATGTAAAGGTAGATTATGGAACATAAACATGTCATCTAGATACCGTTTATACATAACATTTATTCTTTACTTCATACAGTGCCATTTCATTATTAGTGACTGGGGTATAATGCTTGCCTTCAAGAGTTTTCACATAACAGAGACCCCAAACTTTGGTAAACTGAACTATAGCCAATGGTTCTCAAATTTTTCTACACCTTAGAGTAGCTGGGAATCCTTTTTAAAAATACTATAATGAGCCTACATCCCAGATCCTCTCAATCAGCATCTCTGGGTATGTGACCCAGATTTTAAACCTCTGTGGGGAATTTCAGTATGGAGCCACATTTGAGAACCAGTGATATGGAATTCTACAAGGACACTTTGGTCTGTGAAAATCACCTGGAGCCCTTGTGAAGTGGCAGTTGGGCCCTGTCCCAGAGTTTCTGACTCAGTGCTCTGGCTTGGCATTTCTAACAAGTTCCCAGATGATGTGGATGCTGTTCAGGGACTTCACTTTGAGGGCCGATGGCCGCCATCAAATATATGCAGCAGTTGGAGTATTTCCCACAGTGGAAATGTTCTTTTTCTTTGGCCTTTTTCAGAGCACTGTCATCAGAATCTCCTGGTGCGCCTGTTGAAAGTGCAGACTCTTAGGCTCTACTCCAGATGTTTCAGGTCACAATCACTATAGATGAAGCCCCTTGAACTTCACATCAATACCCCTGCCACCCTGTGATTCTGCCCTAAGAAATGATGCTTTATCTCCTCTTCCTGTGTGCACACAAAACAGTTCTCCCCTGCTAACCAAAATGAAGCAGGCAGGGAAAGGCCACCAGACTCTAACCGGAGAAAGAGGAAGGAGTAAGTTCCCTGACGTGAGGCTTCTTCACTGCATTATTCTGGGTCAGGGGTCCAGGTCACAACTGGCATTTCAGAACACACTGAGAATTAACTCAGCCACAGAGAAAAGTCTAGTGTACTGAACACCACCCTTCATTACCTGTCTTATTGCTGCAACCCTTCTGAAAATAGGGGGAAAAAATCTCTCCCTTCCCAGCAAATTCACTGTTTAACAATCATTTTTTCCCCCCAATATATGTTATGTTTTCCTGGCTACACCAACTCCCATATCTGGACTCACAAAAAATAACAGCGAAGAATTAGAAAAGGCAGATGTTTTCTCTCCTATCCTACCTTGCCTACACTCTCAGCTTTAATAAATGAGCAGCGAATAATAGAATGTTTTATTTGTTTATAATTTGAAAACTACTTTAGTAATTGAAGGATGGGTATAAGAGCTATTAAATACAAGATTGCATCCCAAATATGCTACTCATTAGCTGGTGGCCTTGGGAGAAATTATTGAATCGCATTGTACCTCCATTTCCTCACCTGTAAAATGTGGGTAATAATAGTGCTTAACTCATGAGATTATTGAAATGAACTAATGCATAAAAAGCACTTGGCACAGTGTCTTGGCACATAGCAAGTGTTAGATAAATGGTTATTATTATTATTATTATTATTATTATTGCCATGGCAAATGCTAAATAAAGAATGGAATAAAAGAATAAGCAAACAATTAACCAAGGGAACAATAGGACAAGCCAGTCCTTTATTTCTGTCATACTTCAAAATCTGAGAGTTCCTGTTCAGGACAGCTAAACTTCAGGAGTGCCTGGATGGATAGTATGAACCATATGAAGTTCATCAACAAAAGTACTACAAAACTAATTTTCTATAGCTGGGTCATGCCCAAGATTATTCTGTGAAAGTTACTCTTGTTAAGAACAAGAAAAAGTAGATGAATACAAATCTTGTATATGATGGAGAAGACAGCTTATATTTTTGAAAGAGATAATGGCAAATAGGAGGCTGGAGCTAAAGTGCTGAGGCTGACCCACTGGGGAAGTTGAGGCAGGGCAATGAAAGAGGTTCACAAAATGGCCAGAGAAAAGCAGGGGACTGAAAAAGGGCAATGTGCAATGAAATTTGTAAGGGGAGGCTGAATGGATCAGGAATCTCCTTTCACTTTACTATGATTGATGGATTTTCTCTCCTTTATGTTTATTAATCAAACAAGCCATACCCCACCTCATCCCACTAGCAACCCCCATTTACTTTATTTGTAAAACCTATTTAGTTGGCCTATGTGTTGTGGCTTATTATTCAGAGACATGCCAAAGACTCAATGCCACAGTCCATTTCATCTTTTGAAGTCTTAATTTCCTACTTAAATTCAGAAAATGCTTATTTAAAGGAAATCCACTTTTAATGATACTTTTATTCTCATTATTAGATTTTTCCAACCTCGTACTCAAATATAATGTGGTAACACACTGCACCATTAAGTCTCAACTATATTTAAATGAATATCTTGGGCCATGAGCCTGCAAGATCTTGCACATACACAGAGATGGAGCAACTGTGTATGAGCAAATGATGAAGCATTGAATTTATCTTAAATTAAGGTCTATATGTTTTCTGTTGCTACAGATCTATGAAGTATATGTTAAGGCTGAATTAAATTTGGGATTCCTTTTGTTCCAAAGAGATTTGGAGGCAATTTGCTTCTGGACAATCCCAGTGCAAAGGAGTCTCAAAGAACCTAGGCTCACTCCAAATATGCATAGTTATACAAGTGACTTGGCTTTTTAAAGAGTCTCCTTCTGTTAGTTTGGAAAAATATTAATTTTCCTAAGCCTCAAGTAAACATGAAAAGTTATTTCAGTGACTCTAGAAAGAGACAAAGTCCTTAGGGTCTGGGCCACATATAGCCAAGAATCCCAGATCTAATACAGAATAGAGGCTCACTACAAGTGCCATAAATAAATCCATAGAGGCTCACTACAAGTGCCATAAGTTTTAGAAAAGTGTCCCAACTTATTAAAACAGCACCTAAACATATAAAAAAAAAACTCATTAAAAAGGACAGATGTCAAGAAGAAAACTAAAATGTGGTAATAACAGTGATGAAAAACAAATAACCAAGGCTTATTGAAAACTTGTATTCTAGATATGGAGTAGAAATTTTATGTGGTTATCTAACTTATTCTCTAATAGACCCCTGCGCTTAGGGAACTGAGACTTGATAAGATTGAGTGAGTTGTCCAAGGTCATGAGCTCATAGGTGGCAAAGCCAGAATGTAAACCTAACCCTATAACATGTAGAGCGGGAGCACTCCACTGTCATCTGACTCTCAGTAGAGAGAGCGACTAAGCAGGAGACTCCTTGGTGAGCTTAGATATTATATGAGAAATGGAAGAACTGGAACATAATTAAGAAATAAATACTGAAATGTGACCCCAAAGGACAGTAGAGGGGTATAAAACCCTGAATAAATCAGATCCTTTAGAAAATTGCTGAAAACATCACAAAGAATGTTTTATTGATGGGGTCTAAGATTGAGAGCATCAGTCCTGTTGGCGTCCATCTTCAGTCACAGCTGGGCAGTCTGAGACGTTAATGGGGTACGTCTTTAACAGAAGGGTGGAAAACAACCAACGGAACAGCATGTGCCAAGTGAAAAGCCTGGTGTTATGTAAGGCTTGGTCTAAAAGATAAGATAAGGGCTCCAGGTTAGGGGGTGCCTGATGTTGCATTAGTTTGTGACGGAGCTCTGGGGACTGGTGATAGGAACACACTGCTGACCTGGAGCCCATAGGCTTTGGAAAGCACAGAGCAGCCCAGCTCTTAAGCCCTAGTGACAAAGCATAGCACAAACAGAAAGGAAAGTGCTGTGTCTATTGAGTTTGATTCTTAGAACCCACCGGAAACCCAAAGTAGGCCTGAGCCCATACTGGCAGCCATGCCTCAGAGCACTAGGAGTGGGAAGAGACTCATAAAGCTACAAGACAGGAGGTCCTTCCCCAAACATGGCAGCCAGGAAACCAGAATTTTCCAGACTAAGTAGACAAAGAACTTCCAAAAGCAGTCAGAGTGATGTTCTCTTAAGGGAATTCAATGGGTGAAGTGGGCCAGAGCACAGAAATGCCATCTTCATAGTTACTGAGACCTTCCTTTACCCTTAGGTCAGTGGGACCTTGGAAAGTTGAGGTTAATTATATTAGTTCTAGTCACAGTAAGAACATAGAAAGGAACAAATCACTGTTTTTGCTCGGGGAGGCATTTAATTGCTGTAATGTTAAGAAAATAGCAAGAGCAAACAGAAGCCCCAAGCTCCCTTGCATTCATTTCCTCTATCCGTAAAAACATAATAGGTGAAAAGATACTCAGGAAAAAGCTTGGTGCTGCAGTTTAACTGCACTCAAGCCTTCAGACACAAATAGTTTCCATGAGAAGATACAAAAGATGAAGCATGATCCAAGAACCTCTGTGGTTAATCTCTGCGTGGTCATGGGAAACTTGAATGGTACTAGAAGACGGGATCAAAGGAATATTTATCAAAGTTCAAAAAAACTGAAAACAGTATATCTGAGAATAAATTCAGTGAGCTATTAGTCATGTAATAGAAAAAGGACAAAGCCAAATGCTTCCAGAGTGCTATTCAGAGCCGTCATGTATTCATTGTGAGACAGGAGCGACCCACTGCTTCTGTTTGCCATCCGCAGAAATGGAGACCCCATTAACTGGCTCAGTCCACTTCCCAAGGTTTGAAGGAGGCTTGACTGAATGTTTGCTTGTGAAAATGCTCTGAAAATTGAAGCTCTTAAAGCCGCCACACCTCATATTTCTATTCAAGATTTGCATAAAGGCAGAAATAAAACTAACTCAGTATGAAAGTGACACAACTGAGTTCAAGTGAATGTGCTGGACAGCAGGTAAAAGAAGACTCCTAAAGCTCTCCACTTGCATGAACAATGAGACAAACCAGGCAAGGGCAGAATGCCACAGGGATATGCTTTTGTTAATGTAAAACACTTTCATTGTACAGGTAAAAGAGGGTGGGGAGGTATAGCCTTAACCTTGGATCATTTGATGTAGGAAAATCCTTGGAGGTTTCACTTTACCACAAGGTAAGGATGAATCAACAATATGATCTGGATGCAAACAAAGAATTCAACCATAGAATTCACTAATGGAAATACCCCGCCAGTAGAACAGATGAACTAGAACTACATTTGTATCATTGCCACCTTGTGTATTAGCTGTTTCAGGTGTATTTTTACATATACTAGGGGTGTGGAGGGTTTTAAGGGGCACTTGGAATCATAATAACTATGAATATATTTCAGCAGGAGAAAAGAAAATGTTTAAAGTTTCAAGTAATTCAAATACACTTTAGAACACAACTCATTAACATGGTTGAGGGACCATGAGGATACCGGTACTTGGGTCAGTGTCTCTTACAGTCCCTGCCCCATCTGCAGCAGGAGTCTCTTCACAGGAGGGGCTTGCTCTCTAAAAGATGATTTGAAAAGATGAAGGTAAATTAACATATTGATTTCCCAGCACTCTGCAGGCCAAAAGCAGCACACACTCGGTCATGTTTCAGATGATGGAATGTGAAATTAAATTAAAGGATGCATCTGTGCTCAGTCCCTAATTGCCTGCCTAGTGGATGGCTTTAAGGAGCACAGAGAGGGAAGAGAGAAAAATGAGGAGAAAAGGAAGAAGCAAGGTGAGTGCATTAGAGAGCCTAAAAAACTGCAAGCTATAACACAGGGGAGGGGCACTGAAGAATTTTTATGCACAAATTAAAGTTGAGTGTCTGTTAAATAAATCTCCATAATTCACAATACAAGCAAGAGCAGTCAGCAGTTGGCATCTTCGAGAACACAGAAGTTTTAGAAGCATTCCTCTGGAAACAGTTCACATATCTGAAAATGTTGCACAGTTAGGAGAAATTAATAGAGTTGGATTAAATTTTTTTAATCATTCCTAAACTCAGATGCCAATTTTCATGCTTAGGACTGTTTCTAAACTCTCAGGTTAGCTTTAATCTTTCTAATTGGTCCTAGGATGTAGTTCATTAAAAAGCAGATCACTAAATAAAAATGTTCTATTCATCTGTGGCCTATTTCTGCGTTCAATCAGCAACAAACAAACTCATAATTCAATAGGGGCCCCTCATTGGATGATTACGTGATAGAAATGTAAAAGGCATATATTTAGTGATAATTATTTATGAATTTATATAACTCACCTCCATTGGTACAAAAATGAAAAACAGAAAAATTTGCTCTTGTTTTCCTCTTCTATTTCATGGAAAACTAATGTTCTGTGACTTATTGATAGGTATTACTAGGAAAATAGAATTTTTTTGTGGTCAAGTCAATTTGAGGAACACAGGGATAAAGAATTTTCTATGGGGCTTTGCAAAATCCTTTACTATGCATGAAGGAAGGAGACACAGAAAAACCTTTCCAAAATGGAATGTTTGTTATCATCTCCAGGGATCTGAGCATGCTGGGAAACAGCCTAAGAAATGCTGCACATCTTCCTGACCTGGCACTCACTCCTCTGTCTAAATGCATTCTCAAATCACATTTTCAAGATTCTCAAAACCAAGTGACAGTATAGCCACTAGCCTAATGACCTCAGCAGCCGGATGCCTGAGGCTACACACCAGAAATTGCTGCTCAGTTGCAAGATGATAAACCAGATAGAAGCAGATTAAGCTACAGGAACCTGGTTAAAGTGTATTTACTGTCACCTACATAGGTGTCTAATTCAGTCCTTCTAGGTTTTTGTATATTTAAAGAAATGCTTATTTTGGAGATCAGAAACGAGATAACCAATTGACCATTTCCATTCTGGGCATTACAGATGGAATACATAATTGTTCTCAGCCAGCAGTCAAGAATATGTAATTCAATAAATCAAAATGTTTCAATGACAGTTATTGTTGTCATTTTAATTACTAAATTGATAACACAAGTGTAAGATTATATAGCATAATTAAAACAGAATTAAGTCATTTACTTGTCAATTGGCAAAAAATGTAATAATAACTGTTTATTATGTGTTAAGCAAAGTTCTAGTCAGTGGCAAGGGTATAAGAAATAGGAAATTAACCCTGCTCTTGAGACATGAAGACATGAACAGTTAAAGCAATAGGGCTTGGGCTGAGGCTCAGTGGTAGAGCACTTGCCTAGCATGTGTGTGGCCCTGGGTTCAATCCTCAGCCCCACATAAAAATAAATACATAGAATAAAGGTTACTGTGAAAACAAATTTAAAAAGGAAAAACAATATATATACTGCTCTAGATGTAAAGTGCCAACCCATGTGGGAGCCCCAAGAAGAGAGGAGTGTGGGGTAGAGTCTACATTTATTATGTGAATTAGAGTGGAGAGGGATTGCTCAAAAGTGCTGCCAATAAGAGAACACTTTTACTTATAGGATTGGCAAAAATTATACTGTCCCTTAATTACTATAGCAGTAACAGGGAAAAAAAATTGCTATCACACATTGAAAATGGAAATTTGCTTAACCTCTTTTTAGGGCCATTTGGCAATATCTAAGAAAATTAGAAATAAGAATTCCTTCATCCAGTTATTCCACAACTAGGAATCCATCCTATATGTAAGTCAATACGTGTGCAAAGCCATGTAGATTCAAAGATATCTACTGTCCCATCGTTCATAATTAAAACATGTCTGAAACAACCTAGGTATTCATCTCAATGGGAGACTGGTAAATAAAGTAAGATACATCCACAGAGGGAAAAGTTCCTGGCTGCTGATGAGAACATAGCAGACGCCTGTGTTTATAGTGAAAGTCTAGTTATTACAGAAGACGGCAAAGCCCAGCAAAAGCCCTGACCCTCCCTCGCTGACTTGTTCACTCAGATGCTCCCTGTCTCCCTACACTCAGCTATACAGGCCCTCTGCTCCTCTAGTGTGCCAGGCACCCTCCCATCTTAGTTTTCACACTCCTTTCTCCTGCCTGGAACGCTCCTCTCCCATGGGTAACCCCCTGCCTCCCACAGGACAGGGAGAGGATCTCACCTGCCTGATGAGGTCTTCCTGAGCACCTTATTCTCTATAAAAACTGCCCCCAATGCATGTTTTTCTCCTCCTTCTCATTCATAGTACTTATGATCGTCCATCAGACTATGTAACTTACATAGATGTTGACTGTCTCTCTTCTCTAAAGCATGGACTCTACGAAGGCCAGGGCATTTATGAATTTTATAACCAAGTCCCTAGAAAAGTATATGCACAAATGAGGTCATCAATAAATATTTGTTGAACAAAATGGAACACACACATAGATGCACACAACCTACATAACCCAATGCACCCATACATACCTACACAAACACAGTACTAGGAATGGACTCTCTGAGGTACAGTGTTAAATAAAAAACAATAAAATATGTGTACAGTATGTCTCTATTTGTATAAAAAGGTAAGTAAAAATACATCCAATATAGAATCATTGTAGAATAACTGAAAATCACATAAGAAATTGCATTTTGCTTTGAGAAGGAAGACTGAGGAAATGAGAATGAGAATCAGAAGTACAGGGGTTACTTTCTCTCTCTCTTGTCCTCCCACCCCTCCCCTCCTCTCTCCCTGAAATCCAATGAAGTAGCCTCTGGCCACTCATAGGTAATGAACACTTGAAATATGGTTAAATCACATTGAAATGCCTGTAAATGTCAAATATAGACCAAATTTTATTCCAGAATTGTGCAAAAGAAAGGAAAATGGCCCATTAATGATCTTCTCTTGTTGCAGACTGCAATCATTGCTATTTTGATATATGGTATAAGACATGTAATTAAAGTTAATTTCACCTGGATCATTTGACTATTTAAAATGTGGGTCTCATATTTTATTTTCATACATATATATTCATATTTTATAGGACCCACATTTTAAATATATATATCTCCTTGAAAAAATAATATTACAGAGAGAGAGAGATGGCCAAGAGATTTTGAAGTTAGGCAGATCTAGGATAGAAGTCAATTTTGCTTTTACTTCTCTGAGCCTTAGTTTCCTGTGCTAGTAATATGGGGATATGATCATCTATTTAATCCTCATCTCCTACAGGAGTGTAGTATAAATTAAATGAGATAAATATATTTAAGGTGCTTGGAACACAAAGGTAGAACATAAAATGTCCACTAAAGTTCTGGAATATTTTTCTGAGGAAACAATTTATAAAACTAGTCAAAAACTATGAGTGCTCAGCAGGAGAGTGGTGTCTTCTGCATGCTGTGCATGTTGTGTTGCTTATGAGAAAGGAAAAGAAAGTAAAACACCCAATAAAGACACAAATCTTGCAATAAAAATATAAACTGGAGTTAAGTGAAGGAATAAAAGATTAGTTTTTCAATGCAGAGTTAGAGGCACTCCAGTCTATGACACCAAAATTCTATAGGTAAATAGTTTTTTATAAAGGTAACAAAGTTGCTCAGCTGTGAAAACTTTCAAAGGAACAAGAAAGGGACATGAGAGTCCACTGGAAGCTGTGGAGCTTGTGCCAACATTGTCCAGATGTGACAGGTGATCAAAATGGGAGGGCAGAGCCTGAATTAATCTCACCTCTGACCAGTCAGTCTCTGCTTGAGACTGTGAGGAAGAGGGGAGATTGACAGCAAGGCGCATGGGCTGTTCACACAACTTCAGAAGCATTCTCCCTAAGCAGAGGAACCAGAAAACCTTTTCAACCAAGAAAGTAATGCTGTATAGAAATATTCCTTTGTTAACAGATAATTTCCCAATGAAAAGGTGAAATATGATTTAAGCTACCCAAGGACAGTTAGTCTTTTCTACTCTAGGTCAATATGGCAAGTGTTCAAATTAAGCTGGACTTTCCTATTTGCCAAACCATAGGGCACTGAGGGGAATAATAAGAACCTCTTGAAAATAAAAACCTTGTGTAATGTACTGTAGCATTTATTTTAGTGGCTGAATGTATTTTAATGGCTTTAGAAATGATTTTAGTTCTGTATTCAAAGAAACATTAAGAGGCCACTTAAATTTTTCAGTTACACTTACTGCACTTTATGGAGGAAGTGTTACGTTATATTTGTGACTCTGTGGATAGAAGAAGTCCCCGTAGGCATGTTCCTCATGAATGTCACAGGTTTACTATATCCAAGAATATTAGAGATAAAAAGGCTTTTTAGTAAATGAAGATCCACAAGACAAAGCAGCTTAGAGATTATAATGATAGTATGTATCAGGGAACCTACGCTGGTTACTCACTTCTCAAACACTCACTGATTCCACATCTCCTGAGTGCCAGACACCAGGAACACAGTGTTTAAAGAGATTCCTTACATGTTAGTGTTTGTTGTAGGGGACCCAATAAACAAACATAAATGATATCATCTAACAATAAGTGCAGTGGTGAAAATAAAATGGAACCACATGTTTGTGGTTGGAGAGCATATGATTGGAGAGCCACTATGACAAGAAATTAAGTATCTGTTTGAGGACAGGGCAGTTAAAATGTTTGCATAGGAGGGCTGAGATTGTGGCTCAGCAGTAGAACGCTTGCCTAGCACGTGTGACCCCTGGGTTTGATCTTCAGCACCACATCAAAATAAATAGATAAAATAAAGGTTTTATGTCCAACTACAATCAAAAACTAAATATATATATATATATTTTAAAATTTGCATAGGAAGAAATATTCAGCCAGGCCTGTGCAAAGGCCCTCAGGCAAACTTGGAGCTCCTCTCGAGGAATAGAGAGCTTAGTATGGGGAGTGCAGTGATGGGGTAGGGAATGGTCTGCTAGGGCAGAGGAGCAGACTGGAATCCCCATGTGCCCAGTGCTCAAGGTAAAGTGTTGCAGTGGGATGCCACTCGTGTGTGCAAGCAGCAGGAACACGAAGGGATTCATATTCTTAAAAGGATACTCCTGGTGAATTCAGATAACATGGTGATGACAGTGGGGTCATAATTTGGGTCTTCCCAACTCCCCACCTAAAAAACAGAGAGAGCAATGCAATCAAAACCCTATGGCCAACTTTTACACCAAACTAAGAGGCAATGTATCTCACAAACTCTAAACGACAAACAAGTAAGGACAAGCCACTAAGAAAGACAATACCAACATCTATACAACAGGAAGCAGGGAGAAGTAAAGAGGTGTCTGAGAACAGCAGAATTCCCAAAGAGCCAACACTACAGAGTATTGCAAGCCAACTGGATCATGTGGCTACAGTTGCCAAACTCCAAAAGCCTGGGAGGGCTAAGGGCTCATGGCAAGGCCCAAACAGTACAGAGCCATCCAGTCCCTGTTAACTTTTGAATTTGATCAGCCACAGCTCCTGTCCAGAACAGAACCCCAAAGTAAAAAAGAAACTACGGCAGTAAGATCAAATTGGGTAGGACAGGAACAGTAGTCATAAAAGAAAGAGAAAAATCCAGATAAAAGTGGGATCCAAAAATACATCTCACAATACCTCCCATTCTAGTCGTTTTTTTTACGATGTGATCTTGACGCTTCTCCCATGGAATGATGAGGCTCATGTGCTGTCCCCTTGCATCTAGGTGGAATTTTGTGATTTGGTCAACAGAATAGGATGAAAGTAACCATGATATTCAAGTCCAGATTATAAAAATGACATGCATTTCTACCTTGCCCTCTTGGACTGCTCCCTCCTGAAACCCAGCTGCTGTGTTGTGAGGAAGCCCACACTAGCCCAGGGGAGAAGCCACGTGTAGTTACTCTAGTTGACAGTTGAGTGAAGTCCAAGCCAATGACAAGCTGAGGCCCCAGACAGCGGGGAGCAGACGTGCTATCTCTGTTGCCCTCCATCTAAATTCTTGTCCCACAAAATCTGAAAGCATGATAAAATAGTTATTGTTCACCACTAAGGTCTACAGTGGTTTGATTCCCATAGAGCTATCATAGTTTTAGTTAAAATATTCAATCTCATGGCAAAATTTATAAGGAATGTGTATTTTAGGAGTCATCTTTAATTTTCATAAATTGTAAATCCAATTCAATGTCAGTAAAAGTACTTTAATTATTGGTGTAGCATAATCTGCTTTCTTTTGCTTTCGAATGAAAATCTCTTGCTAGCAAACACTTCAAAAACCATGCCACGCAAAGTCTGTTTCCCCCCCCAAAGCAGCAGCCAGATTCATTTATTTCTTTTTATCTTTTTAGAAAAATTATTTGCAAATGGAAGAAATGGGAAAAGTAGGATGAACATATAGTCTATCATCCAAACTGGGACCATTTTTCAACACAGTTTCATTGAGATATAGTTCCCATACCATAAAATTTACCCACGTAAAATGTACAATTGAGTGTTTACTCATCACAGTCAGATATAAACAACATCATAATCTAATTTTAGAGCATTTTCTAACCCTCTGACCTAAGGCAAATTGAAAATGAAAGCAGTTGAATAATTATTCAGGAACAACAGGCATAAATTTAGTACATTCAGGGTATAACCAAATTCAAAATATGGGGTGCTTTAAAGAGAGATAGATGATCAGAAATGGAATTCTTGTTCCCTTTTGTGGTTAAGGGAAGGGTTATGTAAAGGGATACAGCCAGTTTTGAAACTCTTTGGCAGTATCTATTAAAGCTGAGCATATGTATGCACTATGGCTCAACAATTCCATTCCAAATGATTACTTACTAGATGATTTCATTTAAATCAACTTCAAAAACATGCAGAAGTAATCTATGGTGTGACGTTAGAGATTAAGATTGTGGTTTACCTCCAGGCGAGTTAGTGACTGGAATAGGCAGGCTGGGAATTGTGAGGTTCTGGTGATGATCCACTTCTTGATTTACAAAGATGCGTTCTCTTCTTAAAGATTCATCATGTGGTACATTCAGAATTTGTGCACTTTTCTTTATAAATGTTAGATAAATTTGTGTTTGGTAAACAGATTTTAAGAATCTCATTAAGACAGGATTTGTGAGGTCATGAAGACAGAGATATTTTAAAGAGAGCAATTAAGGACAGTTAAGTGTTTAAACAGTAGCAAGGAGGTGCTAATTTTCTCCTTAACACCTTTCCCTGGAACTGGGGGTAATGAAATTCCTAGGGAAATAGAGGTGGGGAAAAACAAAAGGTGTTTCTCATACAAGGGGAATGTTTAAGTAAAGGCTGAAATATTTAGCAGTTAGAAATCCTGGAATCTTTCTTTTTTTAGTTGGGATTTTTCAATGCTTCTGCTAAACAGGATAGTATTTTAGAGTTGGAAGTAATATTCAAAATCTTCTAATCATTTTTTTTCACCTTCAGTTAAGGATCTAAGGTCCAGAGAATCCTGAATTAGTCCAGAATTACACAGCTAGATAGTATTAAAGCTGGGATCAGATTCTAGGCATCTTGACATGGAAACCATTTTTTTTTTCCTCTGACTAATAATAGTTATCTGCTTACCTAGTAGCAATCTCTGTGATAAGTCATTTCTAATGATCTGATCTGATCTCCAGGAGAGACAACAGGTCTAACTAACACTTACACACATTTTATACAGGGTGAAACCAGAGATGACTAGAAAAGTTAATATACTTTGACAAGGTTAAATATTAATTAAGTAGAGATGCCAGGATTCCAATTAGTTCTTACTCTAGAGTATAAGAATTTAACCAATGGGCAATATTGCTTCCTTGAATTAATAGTATTTTTTGCCATGTTTCTAAGCTGGAGTTAATTAGTACACAGATGTATTATTTCTTGGTAGTTAAAATGTCACAAGTAAAAAACCCTGAGTAACTTTGTTTCCAGGTTATAATCCAGCTGTTTTCACTTATTTATATCTGAGGAAAATACATCCATTGGACCAATGCTGTCTTCAACAGGCAGAAACGTTTTCCTCTTGGCAGTTACCTATCAGTGAAGTGACTGAGTTTTGAGATCCAAGAGTTATTCAACACCCAGAGAGATGACCTTCCAAACAGAACCTCTTTTAATGATCTATTTCCTTGGTAATGTTCTTAACAATATATAGTAAGTTAGGCTAAAGATTAATGGTCAACACATAAATTTCAAGTTTTCTTCTTAAGTATCCATGGATATTTAAGATTAGGTCCCCAAGAATCTAAGTAACCATTCCTACCCCCAAGTGCTAGAAAAACACTATTTTGAGTTCGATGCAAGTAGAAGAAAACTCATTCAGATGAAGCATATTTGACTTGGCAAACGACAGCCTATTTTAGGGTTTGATTTCCTCACATTTTTTCTAAATATCCAATTCATAGTAGAACTGAGACATTTAAGAAGTGCAGGTTCATTCATTATGCATTGCAAAGTGCACTTTCTTTCAATTCATTCATGGTGCAAGACCATCAAGGTTAATAGGACAGTAGAACAGAAATGGTGTTTACTTCTTACAACATTGTCATAATTTTGAACTTACAGGTAGGTAGGAATAGAGAGACCAAAGGGAAAAAATAGAAGGGAAAAGCCCCTTGTTGAAGTCAATACTTCCTCATTTATATTTTAAGTAAATAACTGTTAACATAAAAAATCAGATTGAGCATAAATGATTGTTTAATTCAACCATCCTCCAAAGATGATGAATACATAGCACACTTTGACTCACATCATTAACTGATAAAAGCCCGCTTGCCTTCCAAACACAGATTCCCCTGACCTCAGACTTTCCCAAAATAACATCGATCAACTAGTATGTGCAAGATGCTGTACTAACCACTTTGAATGCATCACCTCATTTTATAGCCTCACAACATCTTAAGAGAGGTCAATTATTATTCCCCTTTTAGAGAATTAGAGATGAAGTCACACAGTTTCAAGGGGCAGTCAAAGCCAGGTTCATTTTCCTCCAGTGTCCCTGGTCATAATGACAACACTATATAATCAGATTCCACCAGCTGGCCAGAGTTCACACATAATATATGAGCTGTTTTCCATCATGGGTCTCCTTGCATATGTTCCTTCTCTAGCATCACAAGTAGGGGGTCACAGTAAAGACATGTTATTGCTTTAAAAAAAGAAATAAAAGTTCTTTCCTACTCATTGGTCACAGCTTTGCTTTTAAAGGCAACACAAAGCAATTTATTTGGTTGCATATGATAGCACCACTGGACCTCCCACCTCCCCTTTGATATTTCCCTGTGAAGGGTCCTCTTGGCTGGCGTAAGGACCTTCTGTTATTTCATCAGGCCATATGTGCCTTTTATGTGTTCTCCATCCTTCTCTAGCAGTGCTTGTTGCCTCTATCTCCCTGAAGAAGAGAATATGCTGCCAGAAAGGTTGGACCAACTCTGGGTACACTAGGACTACCCCTACCTGCCAGGTTCTGGTTCTTTTGACTATCATGCCTGGTGATTGATAATTCAACCAAATTTTATAACTCCATTAACTTACACTGACGATTTAACATTCTACTAAGTTAGCCTAGGCCTCAAATTCCAAATAAGGAGCTGGATATGAAAAAGAAAAGTAGAAGAAATTTGAAAAGTGGTTGAAGAAGAAAAGTGGAGGAGATAGAAATGTTTCTGTCAAAAGAGGCTGCCAAGTTTCCCATATCTATTAAGTGTCCTCATATCTATGTAGAGTACCCTTAACAAAATTTAGTAAAAGTGACCCAGTCCCAAACTGTCTTACTCTGCCTGAAATCTCATCATTTACAGATTCATTGGGGTTAATAAGCGAAAGCAAGCAACAAACAAAACCAAAAGCAAAACATTAAACCAATCCCAAAAAACTAAAGGCCAAATGTTTTCTCTGATATGTGGATGCTAATTCATAATAAGGGGGGGGGTCCAATGGAAGAAATGAGGTACTTTGGATTAGACAGAGAAAATGAAGGGAGGGGAGGGGGTATGGGATTAGGAATGATAGAATGAATCAGACTTTATTACCCTATGTGCATATATGATTACACGACCTGTAAACTCCACCTCATGTACAACCAGAAGAATGAGAAGTTATACTCCATTTATGTATGATGTGTCAAAATGCATTATACTGACATTATCATTAATTAGAACAAATAAAAATTTAAAAATTAAAAAAGAAACCATAATGACCTAAATTACCAGATAGGCATATACCCTATGTGAATTTTAAGAAGAAAGCCATTTGGTTAGCAAATAATTCTATGTCATTATTAGCATACCTTTTTGATTGGGATAAGGATGAAGAAGGTGAGGAAGGCTGAGATTTGGGGATGGAGATAGAGAAAACCAAAATCCGGGGAATGAATGAGTACATAGATAGATAGAGGATGGTGGATTTTGAACTTGCATCGTGGTAGAACACTTGAAATACATGAAGACCATAAGTATTTTATTATGGGCAGACCTGGATGGCAGGGCACCATGTGAGCCATGTGGCAACAGGTGGGCAGCAGGAGAACAACGAACAGTTTCAGAAGGCAAATTCACCTCTGTGGCCACTTGATCCAGGACTAGTAAATCTGCTTCTTTCTTCTCCTCCCTGATCCCAGGCCAGATGTCATTCATCTCTTATCACATCCTCAGACATGGCCTGTGTTCTGTTTTTCTCAGCATCTCCACTTCCTCACAATGTCTAGTGACAAACACGCAAGAAAGCAAAGTTGATGGAACAGCGTCTCCACCAAATATCCTGTCTGCAAAGTGCTACAGCTGGAAGGAGAGTGGTGAGAGCCATGGGACACACTGACTCCCAGGGGTCCTCGCAGGACAGGGAAGAGGAGGAGTCAAGAGGCTTCAGGCGAAGACTGTTATTCTGAGCAGGGCCCAGTTTACAAGAGACTGCAGCGTGGTGGAAAACTGCACCAAGGTCTGACAAATGATTTGGGGTTTTGCAATCGACCTCATTTAACTTAATTTAATCACAATAGCTGTCCAACCATTCTATTTTCTCTCTAGATAAAAAGCTATGGCCAAATCCCTAGGTCTCATTTTTTAGATACTCAAAAGTGTGGGGAGGAATACAACCAATGAAAAAGCAATGACAAATAAGCTGCTATAAAGCAGGGACTGCAGCTTATTAGGTTCAATTTTACACAAGAGTGACCTTGGATACTTGGTATTTGACCCCTAAATGGCCCCAGCTGATCCCAATTACTATCTGTGCACACACACTTGTGTTTTCTGTAAGTCAACACACTAATAAAGCTTTGTTATCAGGCTGAAACTCTAGTTAGATGGCTATGCTCTACATATTAGTATGTGCTCTACTAATACTGAAAGAGGACACAAAAATGTGTAGGAGGCCTTTTGATTCTATAAGACACAACTGTCTTGCAAAACTGTGGTTTACCTTTTGTTATTGATTTTAAGCAGTTGTTTAGCATGAACTCTTGAGAAATGTAGTTCCCTTTGTATTCCTACAAACAAGACAAGGTACATCATCTTGTATACCTACCATAGCTATGGTTTAAATGTCTGTGCCCCCACCCTGAACTTGTATGGGGAAATTTAACTCCAAGGTGAAAGTGTGGGAAAAAAATGAGGCTTCTGGGTGTGTGTATGTGTGATTAGCTCATGAGAGTGAAGTTCTCATCAATGATCATTTACAAGAGGCCTCGGAGAGCCGCCTTGTCCCTCCCACCAATGGAAATTGCCCCTAGGAAGAGGTGTAGGAGGTGATATCTGTAAGGAACAGGACCTCACCATATAACAAATCACCCAACACCTTCATCTTGAACTTTCCCAGCTCTAGAATTCTGAGAAATAAAATTCTTGCTGTTTATAAGACACTCAGTTGTAACAGGCCAAATGAAATAAAAAACATAGTAAACCACATGAGACAGAACAGGTAAAGGCACAAAGGGACAGATAGGAGCAGGGGTCCTAAGTGATTTGCTTTCCCATCTGCCAATGCTCCTTATTGTGATAACAGCACCTCAATTTTTCTTTCCTCTACATTCAGTTCATATGACTTTGATATCTTACTCCTGTCACGTTCTCCCAGGTTCCAGGGGTGAGAAAGTGACCCAGATCTGGTCAATTGGGTCATTTCCTTTCCTCCTGACTTTATGGGTTACCATGGAGCACAAGACAGGTTGATAGAATCCATGCAAAACTAGTTAGAAAGAAGAGTTGAGTGTCAAAAGGACCACAGAACAGAAATTTGCTGGACCTAGTTTTCAGGACAACCCTGGGAACTTTTAAATATTTTTTTTTCCCTGCTAAAGTGACTTTGAATTGAGTTTCTGTAACTTTTCCCTTAAAAAAATCTGAACAAGGCAGGGATCATTCTGTCGGAATTTTATTTCTTTTGATTTACTCTGTAGTTGAACAATAACATTTAATATGAAGGCAGGTAGCTTTAAGATGACCTGATGATTCTGGCTGCCTAGTGTTCACCATCTGGTATAACCCTGTCCTCTTGAGTATAGGCTGAACCCTGTGACACTCTTCTATTGAATGGAAGCCAAGAATGATGGGCTGTCACTTCCAAGATTAAGTTTCAGAGAAGCTATGGCTTTTGCTGACATGCCCTTTCTTGCCCTCTCTTGGCTCTCCTGCTCTGAGGAAGGCCTCCTGCCACATATGAATGCCCAAAGGAGAAAACCTTGTGAGGAAAAAAACCAAAAACAAAACCCAAAGCTAAGGCCTCTAACCAACAGCCAGCAAGGACCTGAGGCCTGCCTGCAGTCACGGAACTGAGCCTGGATGGGAATCATAACCTAGTCCAGCCCACAAGTAACTATAACTCCAGCCTAGACCTTGATCACAACTTCCCGAGAGCCCAGAAGCCCAGGGACCTAGCTAAGCTGATCTCCAGACTGTAAAATGTGATTGTTATTTTAAGCTGCTAAGTTTTGGGCTAATTTGTCATGTAGCAATATATAACTAATAGAATGGAATTAACCCGAGTAGATTAACAATAAAATATTCATTCTTTTCCTCTCTATTATATTTCCCAAGACAACTCTCAATTATTTCATTTATAGGACTTACAAATGCAGTTTTAATATATTGAAGTTAATAACATAATTATATTGATATGAGAGAACTATATTGATAGTAATGAATTATGTGGTTCTGATGAAATATGGCATTTGAATGGTAAGATTCTTTTTTTTTTTAAAGAGAGAGAGAATTTTTAAATATTTATTTATTTTTTAGTTTTAGGCGGACACAACCTCTTTGTTTGTATGTGGTGCTGAGGATCGAACCTGGGCCGCACGCATGCCAGGCGAGCGCGCTACCGCTTGAGCCACATCGCCAGCCCAATGAATGGTAAGATTCTTTAAGAGAAATTCTGAGAGTTGAAATGCCAATCTAGTTTAGACTAGTCTATTTTACAAATACACACATTGAGCACCTTCTGTGTTCCACACATAGATAGATAAATAGTGCAATTGGCCTGTTGCAAAGAGTTCAAAGGAGAGGAGAGAAACAGGTAAGATTGAAACAGATTAATCAAGGGAAGAGTCACTCTTACTAGGAGTGTGACACTAGATAAGCCATTTAACTGTTCAGTGCTTTGGTTTCCTCATTTATAAAATGATGAATAACAATAATAACAGCTGATTAATCACCTTATAAGATTGTTAGAAGGACTAAAAAAGAATATATATATATATATATATATATATATATATATACACACACACACACACACACTCACACACACTGTAAAATGTCAAAATGAAATAAATCATTAAAATTATAATGCTTATTATAAAAATATAATATATGGGCTTTACTGGAGAAATAGATAAGAATCATTCATAATTCATTTGTTGTTTATAGCATGTGAAAAAATTTCCATTGCCTATTTAAATATGTTCTTAAATTTGAAATTTGTACTCTAAAGGTACCTGGTTTGAACACTCCTTTAAATACCATGCAATCTGAATTGCTTCTCTAAATGTAAATGTCTCACACTTTCATCTTAATTTATTCTTTGTGAGAAGACACTTTATAGTAATTGTTTCAGGAAAACTGAGTAAAAAAATACATAGAACATGCAAATTCCAATCATTTTGGTCAATTCAAAACTTTTGTGAGCAAAAAATTTTCTGCCCTATGAAAAAAAGACAGAATTTTTTTTGATATTACATTTAAACAGTGTTTAAAGTTACTATTTAGAATCAATTAAATGTTCTCATTGCTTCTATTACCTTCTCCACCAAGGTTTCTCTGATATTCCTTGCGAATCATTAAATCAACATTTTGAGGTCACTGGAAAACACTTTATTTTTTATATTTTCAATTTGCCACTGTACTTCAATTCATTATTCTAGTCCAAATAGCAGATCTGTTAATAAAAGTGCACGGGCAAGAATAATTGATTTCATTTTAGGGAAAAGATATCAACAGTAAACTGCTTTGGACTGAGCAATCAATGGTTATTGAATTCTAGACTCCAGGCTAATATTTCCAGCTCTACAAGATCCTTGAGACTCCAGTTGCCCACTTTGCTTTTAATGAACAAGGTCAAAATCATGAAATGAAATACTATGACTCTAATAGCATACTTTATCTCAGAAAAATTTTAGCCTCTAGGCATCATAAACTGCCAAGTATCTTTCCAGTAAGCCTAAATGTTAATATACATATCAAAGTTGAAGATAAATATGTCCCTTGGAATCCAGTTGTACTCTAGTTGTCTACACTTTGGTAAAAATAAAATTAAAATAAACATTTATTAAGCTCTAACTATGGGCTCACCAAGGAGCAAAGGGACTCTAAAGTTGATGGAATAGGTAAAATATAATTGAAAAACTTAGAAAATACAGAGAGTGAGGAGTGAATTTTAGTTTGTACAAATTTTAACAGGATAATGCTTTTAACTAAAAAAGGGAAGGAAGGTAGAATGAACATGTTTGTGATAGGGGATAAAGGGCTTAGGTTCAGTTTCTAAGAAGTTGAAATCTGAGATGATGGAGCACCCAGATGACAGTTGGACATAAAGAACCTGAACTCATCTGTGGTAGCAAAACTATAAAGAGTATACAGAGTGGGAAGGCAAGGACTCAAACTCCAGGAAAGACAAAGAGCTAAATCAGGAGGAGGCACAGAAGGAGAAGGTCATCAGAAAAGTGGGGAAGAACCATGAAAGAGATGGACCACAGATGCCAAGACAGAGGGAAGACTCCAAGACCAAAGTAATGAGCAACTGCCAACTTGAACAGCAAGATCAACAAAGTGAAGGAAGTTTTAAAGAACTCCTGGTGATCTTTGCTTTAAAGTTTCACTGATAATCTTAGCTAGGTCATGTTCAGTGCAATGGCAGGAGTGGAATCCAGAAGGCCACGCAACATTATTCAATTATTCTAATATTAACTAGGCACCTTTGTTGTGCTTTGAGGATAGGAAAGTACCTATGAAATTTCTGGTAAAAGATACGTGGGAGACCAGAGAAGGCAGGGAAAGCAGAGTCAAGAGTACTTAGAAGTAGCCTTTATCTTTGGTTGAGAGAGTGTACAGGCATGAAGAAGGGAGGTGCGATTTGGGAACAACTGTTGAAGGAAAGGGCAAGAGAGAAACTGGAAATAAAGACAAAAGATTGATGACTGGTGTTAAGAGTCCAGCTAAGGCTGGAACTCATAAATCTGTAATGTGGCCAACCACCATGGTGGTGCAGGTTTTCCTTCCAGTAATGCCAGTAGCTTGAGAGCAGGAGTGAGGACCACAGATGGTCTGAAGCAGCTCAGGTTGAGTACTGGCAGAAGGACGAGGCTGAAGTGTCAAGTGGAGATGAATATTTGAGGGGCCTGTTGATTTACCAGGGAACCAGACACCTAATGGAAGAAGTCAACAACATTCTCACTGGTAGAGAGGACAGATAGGGCACTGAAGGACATATGAGTTTAACATTTAGAATTGAAGGAGAGTGAGAGGGGGAAAATGGGACATAGGGAATATTGAAGGAGAAAAAGGATATAAAAATGAAAAATCTGATAAAAATTAAGAGGTATAAAATGTCTTAACAAAGTAAAGAACTTCAAAAAAAAGTGATGCCCTTCACTATGAATTTTCTCTAGATAGTGTAAAATTTGTCTTTTGTTTTTAATAGGAAACAGATTCAAGTCACATCAGGTCATTTCTGAGATTCACTATTACATCTCAAACAAAGAGATCACTATCATGTTAATAAAGTCTTACAATTTCTGATTATTTGGGAAACTTTCAATCCAAAGAAGGAAAAACCAAAAAGCAAAGATCTTCCAAATGAAAATAATAAATAGCAAATTGTCTGAGACAATTACAACATCACAAGTAAGACAGACACCTGGACAAAGCCAAGCTGATACTGGGTTAGGTAAATGACAGAACCTGACACCAATTTGCCACTGTACTTCAAGAACCAGAATAATATTCACTTGAAATATTTATACTTCATGTAAATATTTTTAGCTTTATTTTAGAAATATTTCCCATCAGTATCTCTGCAATGTGGGGATTTATTTTATTTGAAAGCAGGGTGAATATGATTCATATGTAACTTAGTAATACAGAAGGAAAAGAAAGGAAACTAGCTCCTATATCACTCTCAAATTCTCATGAACTCAAGAATTTACTGGGGACCCCTGGAAAACTCTGCTGTTACAATGTGTTTATACCCTCATTCACATTTTTGCTCATGATGTATTGGTTTCATATATAGCTTTAATAATGTGAGTGAAAACTCTCACAGATAAAAAATGCATTCATAGTCAGATAGTCCAATGGCCAGATGTGGCACAGTGCTCCTGCTTTTGGTTCTATGTTGCTGAGGAATTAGGAACAAGCCTTAGTCAAGATCTCCACCCTACACTGGATCCACTTGCTCACCTTGGTGATAATAAATCCAAGTGTCTTCTGGTCCAAACACATTATGGATTATTAACAATCAGTTTCTAATTTCAGATTTGGTGAGGCATCAACAGAGTCACACCAGAAAGTAAGGCAAGTTGTCCTGTTCAAAGCACAATTGAATTCAAAATAATTGAATGAGCAGGACTAAGAAGGAAATTTATCTCATTACACAAGAGTTAGTCCTAACAGTAGCTACATTTGCTGCTTTTTCTATTTTTAGAGGCAAGGAATTATATCCAAGCCAGCTTAGGCCAGTTTGTCCAGAGGGTAAAGGTTGGGATCTGGAGGGCACCCATGAGCAGCCACGAGGGGAGGGGTCACAGAGCGCAGTGTCTGGGGGCTCGCCACACTGCACACAGCCATCAGCACAAAGTATGGGCTCAAATAATATTCACTAATAATACATAGCAGACTACAAAATTGTGTGACATTGGGAAAGTTAATTGGACTTTTTTGGCTCCAGCATATTTGGAAAACAAGGATAATAATATCTGTTTTGTAGAGTTATGTGCATTAAATAAAATAATGCATGAAAAGTGTTTCACCCAGGACCCAACACACACTAATCTCAGGAGACTAAGAATCAGGAACTTTCTAACAAAAGCTGGTTGAAAAAAGAAGACAGACCTAGAAAATCTTATGAAATATATGTTTCCTTTCTCCTCCTCCTTCTTCCTCTTTTGCCTTCATGCATTTTGTTTCTCTAACACTGTGATAAGAGCTGTTTTCTATGTTATATGGAGTAGTAGGAGACGCCAAAGTCAGGTTTAGTTTGGATGTGGCGAACTGAATCTCTTGTGATCAGAGAGTTGTTTTCTAAACTTCCTAATCAACTGGATATGTGAAAATTAACTATGAAGTAATCAGATATGCTTCTGTGGGTGGAAGATGGGAACCAGTGTCCTTAATAGTTTGGCAAGCAAGAAACCTCTCCTGATGGGCCAGGCAATGCCCAGGTGCTGGAACATGAAGATGATAAAGTACCACTCTCAGGTGGCAAGCACATGTAAGTACTCACAAGACCAGGTGGTACGTGGGCATGCCACTCACACATACTAGAGCCCAGGTTTAATCCTTACAAGAGTGAGCAGAGTGCCAGGGAGCTGCACCTGGTGGCAGGCAGTCTTTGAAGTCATGAGAAGGGTTTGAGGGATGATAAAATAAAAGCTACACCAACTTCACAGACTTACATACTTATGCCAGTCCTATTCTTAGTGGCTGGGGTTGTGGCTCAGTGGTAGAGTGCTCGCCTAGCACATGCAAGGTGCTAGTTTCGATCCTCAGCACCACATAAAAATAAATAAATAAATAAAATAAAGATATTGTGTCCAACTACAACTAAAATTTTTTTTAAAAAAAAATCACTGAATGCTACTACGTTGTTATAGTTAATATGTAAAACTAAAGGAATGGACTATAAGGCTCCAACAGTTCTCAACTTTATGCCTAGCATCTTCCAAATGGTCCTGAAAATATCATTACACAAAAACTTTGTGATTTTTAAAAATGAAAGAGGCATTTATCCTGCAAATCATAAAACCTTGGTATTGATAGATAAAACCAGCCATAAAGAACAGATCCCAGATGCTGAGGATTCCCCAGTTCCACTTGATAATGAAAGGCCACTGTAAATCCATAAAGGGAAAAATTATAACCAACTAACTGCTATGCACCTGTACACCTGAAATATGACCATTATTATAGGCAGGGTGAAATGTACTGAATAAAG